TACTAAAATGTATTTTATTATTTTCTGCGTTCTTACACCAGAAGAAAAGTCATTCCGTACCAAAAAATAATTAAAAAAATTTCACCTTTGAGTAATAAATATCATTTGAAACCATTTAGCAAACTTCAGTCTTCACCTCGGAAATGTTGCTCGAACGTTTTTTACGTATTGAATAAGGTATTCCGTTATCATTCCACCAATCTTCCGTTGTCACATACCGGAAAGAATGAGCGGAGTATACACACAAGCTCTTTTATCCTACAACTCGATTTTTGATCTCAAAACGGCGTTTATCAGCTTTATAGTTAATCTGGTGAGTGTCTAAATAATATACAATATAATAAGAAATACATTTATTATTTACAAAAATATATGATGACCCCCCTCCAAAAAATAAATGGCTAGATCCACTCCAGCTGTGACACACCTCATAATTCCGTAAGCGGAAGGCGATAACACAGACCCTCGTATGTCATCGGAAGCGACCGCAGAACCAGTACAGATCTGGCGTCTCCCACGAAAACGCTTCAGGGCAAGAAGCGAATCGATGAGAGGGGAGACTTGAATTTTCATGAGGCGAGCTACAATTACTGGTACCATTGGGAAGAGTTTTATCTCGTAAACTAATATCGGACGAAGTACATTATAATTTTGAATTTCTTGGTACATTTTATGCATGTAGCCGCAGTTATCTACAGTGTAATTTTTGTTTATTATTATTTTTATTATTATTATTATTATTATTATTATTTCTATTCACATTTATTCAAAAGTACCGAAATCAAGGGTAGACCTGTGAGATAATAGTTGCTAGGATAGACATGCAATACTTTCACAATCTCTGTTGTACAGACTAACAGGCAAACACAAGGGAGATAACACAAAGCTTTTGTGACTAACCAACGAATTTCTAAAAGTTTTTCTTTCTTCTCTCTTTTCTTAATTCTAAAAGTACATCTTATATTTGTAAAATGAAAAAAGTAAATTATGAAAAATGAGTGCATTTGTTGTCACTGCGACTTATTGCACTGAAGAGTTGTGCAGTTTTCGAATTATGTTTTTGATGGATCACTCACTCTCTTATTTTCCAAGTCATGAGATTAGCAGGCAACAATCTCCTTTTCTTCTTTCGAGATGGCAGCAGAGATTTTTTTGTTGGTGATGTTGTAAGCGATTCTGATGCAGAAGAGACGTTGGAATTCTGATTTTAGCAGTGATTATTGAAGAATCTAAAATATTATTGAAAGATGTTTACAAACACCCACTCCATGGGCTCTTTTGTACTTGAACTGCAGTGCAGTACACTCTATAATTCGCAGTTTTTAGTACCAGAGATAGTGCAATCTAAAAGCCACTTTCACACTTTGCGGTCCCAACAAATTAATTTTGATGTTGAAAACCTGAAAAGTGTTACTAGTGTAACGATTTTTGACGCCTCATCTTTTGCAAGATGGCAATTTGACAGTAATATTTCTTGAATACCGAGGGAAATTAAATTACATTGCTCAAATAAATACATTTCCAAAACTTTTACAAACCACATATTTAAATATTATGCCATTTGACGTACATACGAGATTGAACGAAAGAATTCGCCGAAGACCTAAAGTGTAAGTATTGCTCCTTCGACATATTGACGTGTTTTGCAATTTGCCGCCTGGGCGTGCTGTTGAGGAAATAGTATATCTTCTTTGATATAGTATAAAATATAGTATATTGGCGAGACCGGGCGTACTGTTTCCGAGCGACTCAAAGAATACATCGCCCATTACAACAAGAACAACACCAACCGTTCGGCTATTGCGCATCACTCGGAGATTACGGGACATGCCATTGACTTCGACAAGACTCTGCTCCTGAACAAGGAAAACCGGTACTGGCCGAGACGTATAAAAGAGGCATTAGAAATAAACAGACGTCCGCAAAACATCAACGCGGACGCAGGCCTCTCTCTTAACCACGCCTGGAAATCTCTCTTGCCATCTATTCGGGACCGTCAGGGGGCTGTTCAACACCGTCCGACCACGGGGACGTCTGGCGCGGAGCCCAGGTTAGCGCAGACCGCCAGCCAACGAGAGACCTCTCCGCCAATCGCGGCGCACCTGTCCTCTCCCGAGCGCCCAGGCAGGATAGTATAATTCACCGAGGCGTAGCGCCGCAGTGTCACTGCCCTCAGGAAGCCTGCGACATGTCAGGCAAAACGTCGGCCTCCCAGCCAACGACGTGGCGTCTCCTGGATAGCCGACAATTTATCAAACAGTACAATATCAGGTCTGTTTGATTCAACCGTTCTGTTGGTTATAATTGCAGTGTCCCATAAAATTCGCGCCTGATGTTATTGATGACTTGTTCAGGCTTACATTTATAATATGGCTGTTCCTGTTCAACTATATAGTATTTCTTTGCAAGCGCTTGGTGAACTACTTTCGTTACATTGTTATGCCGTTGCAAGTATTCAGTCTGAGCCAAGCATGGGCAACCACTGCATATATGTTGAATAGACTCATTGTTACTTCTGCATAATCGGCATTTGTTATCAATCTGTTGGCCCAAGATATATTTTTGATATGCTCTGGTCTTTATCACTTGGTCCTGAAAAAGAAGAGGAAACCCTCAGTTTCACCATAGAGTCCCGCTGTTCGTAGCCATTCTGTGGACCATCTCAGATCAATTTCATCAGATGTCAATATTGCGCTAAACCGGCCATGCAATTCCCTCGTCTTCCAGATATCAATTCTATCATCCCTTGTCGAGTGAAGGAACTCTCTGTTCTCTTGAGCCAGGCGTAATGGACTGATATTTTTATCTTGCGTGCATATTGCATTATGGATTGGGGTCCATTGAAAGAAAATACTGACGGAGTTTTTCTTCCTGCTGACGACATAGTGTCTGTAAATTAAACAATCCTCTATCTGCATCGTTTCGAGGTAGATATAACCTCTGTGTCGAACTATGAGGATGGTGAAGTCGATGCTTGGTGAGTGTCGTTCTGAGTTTTCTGTCAAAGGTTTGGAGAGACGTATCCGTCCATTTCATCACTCCAATGGAGTAAGTAACTACAGGGATAGCCCATGTGTTTATTGACGAAATTTTGTTTCTTGAGTTGATATTCGTCTCACAGATCTTATTAACTCTGGCTACCACTTTCTTTTGTATCCTGTTTCGGACATTTGAATCAGTTATTTCCAATAGTTGCAACATCTCTAGATATTTGTAAGAGTCTTCGTTGCCAAGGTTTTGAATGATGGAGAGTTGTAATTCTCCTTCCTGATTTTGGATATTTCCACGTTTTACCTCCAACGTCGCACATTTATCCAAGCCATGCAGATATCATTGCTCAAGTTTTGGACAATCACCATTTCACTCTGTAGTTGATATTTATTAGATGCATATAATTTGAGGTCATCCATATAAACCTTGTGTGATTTGCGAACATCTGGGCCTGGGTGTGAGGGTTGGGTCTTCTAAGAATTCATTACTCTACAAACATAGTAAAACTTCTTCCCGTATTTTTTGGTAAACGCGGCCGAAGATCAAGGGGTGTACCTTGGTACATAATATTATACTTCTGATAATTTTCTTTCAGATTTCTGACAAAAGCATCCTTATCATGTCCTGATGTTTCTTGCTGGACTTCAACTTCAGGTTCCCCCTACGAAAACATTTTTAAAATAGGCTCGGATATTTTACTTGGGAAAAGAGATTCACCAAATGAACTCTATAAAGCTGAGAAACGCAGTTTTGAGATCGAAAATAGAGTTGTAGGATAAAAGAGCTAGTGTGTATACTCCGCTCATTCTTTCCGGTATGTGACAACGGAAGACCTTAGAGTAAGATGGAATGATAACGGAATACCTTAGAAGTAAAATATATCTAAAATAAAATGTGATGAGATGGAATAATGGTGATATTTACAGAATTAGTTCAATTTTTTAAAAACCAGTTCCAAATCGCAATTGATATTTTGAGTACTGCCTCAAACAAGTTTAAGATGGTATTCGAAGGAAGACGGAAATATGTGAAAAAGATAGTTATGTACTACAATTACAGATCGTTTGCCTCGGCCTGTAATAGTAGTATAGCATATCTACATTGATAACTAGAAAAATAGATTGAGATGCAACGTAGCGAAAGCATAAACCGACTATCTGTCTTACCTGTCCCGCAAGTCCCGCGTCCTCCGCCGGGCCTGGTCTTGCTGACAGAGGGCCCACAACGCCGAGGGTTGAACGCAACGGTGCGGAAGGGGGAGGGGGGCGAGGTGTTTTCCCAAATTTCACTTTACGACGCTCCTATTCGTCCGATTTGTATGATTGTCTCGGCGTTGGATTCAGGAAGCCTGTCGCCATCGCGCTATAAGCTTACATTTTTTAATTTTTTCTCGGGTTTGAGAACTAATTTCAAATTCGGGTTTTTGCAAGATTTTTGGAAAAAGGACTTCGTGGCCTAAATTCTATTTTAAAAAGGCGTCAAATGCCATTTACAGATCGAAAATCGGAGCATTGGTTCAGACATCGGTAAAGTAAATTTTACTTATTTTGGTGCTGCCACGTGGTGGCTGCAAATTGTACTAGTATCGGGATATTTATTAAAATACTCTCTGATTTAGCCTTAAGGGTTCTTCTTACTATTACTCGCGCAACTTTTCTTGAACGATGACCTTGATTCCCCTCCCTGGTGCAATAAACAGTTGAAGGCAAAATCTCACAGCGGGCACTGATGACAACCTTCCAAGCATTAAAACTTCGTTGGCGCGAAACAGAAGCTAGTCATAGCCTTAGCCAGTTGCCATTTGCTGGTCATGGCCAGTTGCTTCCATAGTGCACAACCCCTGTTCAGGTTTATTGTCAATAACTGAAGAAATACATGAGTCAGGTCGAGGTCCTTCAAGGGATCACCTAAAACCCCGAAAAAGTTAAGCACAAGGTAATTCTTTCTCAGAGAGTAATACTTTCTCAGAGAATCACAGGGAGTAAACACAAAAGGCGTATCGTGGGTGCGCCATCGGCAGTGCGATGTGCGCGCTGAGCGCGCGCGAACATATTGTGGACTGCGGGGCGGGAATTGGTGCAGGCAGAAACAAGTGTACTGTGTCCTCTCCGTCTTTGTCTCGTCAATGAGGGGAATATGCAATAATTTTTTTGGTGTAATTTCTAGATAGGGTTCTGAAGACTAATCTTTTTTTATCCGCATACCTGGGGGTAAGTAGGGTGAAACATGAAATATTTGTTACAAGATTGGAAGATATTTTTGATTTCAAAATGAATTTTGCACAGGAAAATAAGTTTCTAAATTTGATGAAAGATGTGTGTGTGTGCTTCGAATACGTAATAAACGTACGTGACGTGAAATTATCGCTTGGTATTGGCACAAGATTGAAGATATTGTGTTAGTTTTCCTTGACTTCTGAGGTTCAAGGACGGCCATTCACCTACTGTAATGTTGTGAAGGTCAGTTTGACAATTGCATAAGCCTTTCTTGGATTTGCAGGTTGTCATGTCTGTTGTCGGCATGGAAGAAGACGACAGGCGTAATATTACCCGAAATATGGGGAGGCTCGTCGACGAAACTAATATAGACGTGCTGATTCCCAAGCTACTTGAAAAGGGAGTTTTTTCGTCAACGATGATTGAAAAATATTTGGTATGATTATGTATTTTATTTTTAACATAAACAATTTTATAAGGATTTAATTTTTTTTCTTTTGAGTAATAAACGTTTCTTTACAGCCTAATGCAGGTTTAAATGTTCAGCAACGAAAAACTGCATTGTATCTGGATATACAGAGAAGAGGGCCATTAGCCTTTGGAAAATTAATAGCATCTCTGATAGAAACAAAGCATTATTCATTAGCCATATTGTTGCGACCAGATGTAAGCATAGAGGCATATTCAAATAGACAGGAATCTGTTTCTCGTGATGCTCTTCCAGGCGGGAATCATCACTCTGGGTACATGTCTTTCTGCATTGTTATTTATTGAGATTTGTTCACGTACATGTATAATTGTTCTGATAAAAATTAATTTTCTAGTACAACTCTTAGTAACTTGCCGGAATATTATTCTGAACAATTTCATAACCAAATTGGAGAATTGCATCGAGCCCATCCCAATGCAAGAATTAATTTGAATGTTGAACCTTTAAGAGTGCAAGTGAAGTATGCAACTTTTCGTTCTGATCAACAATCTTCTAAGCCAAATCTTACAGTAAGTTAAATTAATTTTCTTTGTGTGAGATATTATGTAGGAAATGAAATATCATTTTAGAAATTAAATCTAGTTGTTCAGAAAGCTGTCTGTATTTGATATCTCTTGCAAAAATACTTTGCGTTTCATTGACAATATTTCATATTTTCTGTATAAAAGTGAAACTCAAGTCAATTTTTAATATTTTTTTACATACCTTATTACTCAAATATAAGACAAGGTTTTTTCCAAAACATTTCATTTGAAAAATACAGGTCATCTTACATTTGCAGATTCAGCCTTAACACAAGACAGTTTGAAATTGAATACTGTAGACTAGAATAGTCGTAGCAATAGAATATAAGAACTAGTTAAAAATTTAGGGGTCATTTTATATTTACAATCAAGTTATATTCTGGTAAATAAGGTATAGTTTGGAGCTGACTTGTTTGGGAGGCTGAGGAATGCACTTGGTGTTCTTGGAAGCTGCCCTCCCCCCACCTAATCTGCGACTACTAGCTGTCCAAATATATTACTCAAGTGTCAATGTTAAAACATCATGACAATAAGTAAACCAAATAAGCCAATAAATTTAGCTAACAATAAAATTAAGAACAAAGATATACAAAAACAAGTAATTATCTTGCTTTCTTACATCAGTCAAGTGAACATGCAAGATTTGCATCTGATGAAGTGTCGTCAGTCCTGCTGTCATCAGTGTCGCTGGAATCTAAACCTCCAAGATCGATGATAAATCTGTCGATGGTGTCTTCTTCTATCCCATCCTTCTCCCAGTACCCTTGTTCTATCTTAAGAGTGTGGTTGGTTAATCCCTCCCAATCAACTGTAGATACAGATCTTAACGCATCTGCAGTCACTTCTTGCATCTTTGAAAGGGATAATTCAGAAACATTGTGTTCTTTGATTTTTCTCTTCATTTTGGCCTACTATTGGGCTTAGATCACACATATAAGGCAGCAAACAAATTACTGTATGACCTTGTTCTTTTAACGTGGTGTGTATACGGTGCACTTTTTGTGGAGGTTTGTGCTGTATGAATTAGTCGAAAAGTTCAAATTTTTCATAGTTGTGGAACAAGCAATAATATTATTACTGAGCCAGTCAACCATCTCCTGTTTTTCAGTATACTTAGAAGCAAGCTTATTCCCTTTGAGGCAGTGATACCGTGCATTGTCAAGCAAAATCACACTTTCTTTGGGGAGATTTGGCAACAGCTTTTCATTTACCCATTTTTGAAATTTAGCTCTGTTCATCTGGCCATGGTAATCACCGATAGCTATTCCAGCCTTAAAAATTAAAGCAGCATCGCGCATAAAGCTTTCATTTGAACCAGCTGTAACAATTATAAGCCTGTTTGAGGCACTTATATTTGTCAAAATTCTGGGAACATCCTCGCCACTGCAGCATTTTCCAAATATAAGATTATTGTCAACCCATGTCTGAAGATAAATTATGCGTATCTCATAATTTCTACAGTTTTGACTACCTTTCAAATACCTTGACAATATCAAGCCGTTCAATCAAAAGTTGTCGAAGATTACGACATGTTTTCCATTTAAAACCCATGGCGTGGAGCAAGCGTCATAATGAGCATCACGAGGAAAATTAATTTTCTCTTGGATTGCCATCAGCAGTTTGTGTGCAGTTCATACTTATTTTCTAACAGTATAAAAATCATGAATTAAATCAAGAATCACTCTAATCAAAGTCATCAATGTGGAATTTATTTTCCGTCCCAATATGGCCTTTTCTTACCAGAAGTACTGAAGGCATTCCTGCAGGCTTCAAATCCTTCTTTTCTAATTGATGTCACAGTTCGAACAGATACTCTAGTATAGTTTGCTGCCCGAAAATTGCTGTTATGCAGCGTGTGTTGAAGAACACCTGAATTATTTTCTTAATAACAAGTCCTATAAGTTCCCTAGCTTCTCTGTGTATTATTTGGCCTTTCCTACAAACAGAAGCCATACTGTTCCACCAAAAGTCATGAACAAAATTAAAATTAATATGCTATACACTTGTGTTACGAAGAATAAGCAAACTCTCACAACAAAAAACACGTGGTGTAGAGCCTGGAATGTGATTCACAAAGCAAGGGTGCTGAAATATGGCTGATGTCAGCAGTTCAAAAAGTTGCTCAGTTGTTATAGTAATGGTGACGGCTGCTGACACCCCTCTCACCATGCTCACCTTGCTTGCAAACAAGTCGGCTACTGACTATATTTATTCACCTGCGTCATATTTTTTCTATTCTTTTGATTTGTAAAATCGCAGAAGTCTTGGAGTTTGGCTGTATTAAATTATCAATTATTTTGTTTTTAAACTAGTCGCAGAGCAGGAAAAAATCATAGATTTTTTTCCATCAAACTTTTCTTATTGCTTAAACGCAATGTAATTAAAATGTGTGTAAAACTGATTTATTTCCTATTTAGTGAAAAATATTAGTAAACAAGTGTAATAAAATTACGTAATTTCAACTCTATTCATCTCTAAACATGATTTTTGTTTATGGTGAGTTTCATGTGTATACTCGCATAATTTGATGAAGTTTATATTATTTTAATTATTTACAGGTGTACCCCATGGGATCTCGCCCTAAAGGTTATTTTTTATTGATAAACAACATAAAGTTCATTAATAATATTCATGAAGAGAGATTTGGTGCTCATGTTGATGATTTGAATTTGACAATTTTGTTTCAAGAATTGGGCTACGAAGTTATACCACATAGAAATTTGAAATTATCTGTGAGTTAAAAAATGTAATAAATATAGTGAGATATTCTAATAAAGGAAGTTAAGAATTTATATTCATTTCTAGGATATGAAAACAAAAATCGAAGAGTTTGCTCAAATGGAAGAACACAAACGTGCTCATTCTTGTGTTGTGGCAATTTTAAGTCATGGATTTTCTGGAGACGAACCTGGTAGTACTGATTTTGCTGCAACAGATGGGCTAAAATTGTCTAGTTCATGGGTGTTAGAATGTTTCAACAATTACAATTGCCCAAATCTTATGAGGAGGCCAAAAATTTTCATTTTCCAGACATGTAGGTCAGTAAGTTTCAAAAGTAGCTGTATCTGGTAATAAGACTGAAAATTTTTATGAAAACTCTTTGATGTTTTTCTTTGAATGTCTTGCTTAATAAGTTTTGAATGTAGAGGAGATAAGGCTGACTTTGGAGTAATGCCACTGCAAAGACAAATGCTGAGACCTCGAGTTGTAAGTGATGGTTTTTCTACAGCCCAGTCTCGAACCTATACAGATATGCTGTTAGCATATTCAACGCTCCCAGGTACTTTTCAATTACATGATGTGACTGTTAAAAGAATTTATATTTTTTGAATTTTGTTTGATGGACTTAATTGTTTTAGGATACGTATCCAATCGAGATATGTATTGTGGGACATGGTACATACAATCACTATGTGAAATATTCATGGAGCATGCTTGTGACACAGAAATACAAGAGATGCTAATGATGGTTTGTTCTTTTTTTTTTTAATTATATGCAATGTATAATCTAGCATTTGTAATCTGTTTTTTCAATTTCAAATCTTCGAATGTCTCAATTCCTTAATTCAGAGTTTTTACATAACTTAATGCATTGCAAGACAAAGCATTATATATCTGGAAACTTGCTTTTTATGTTTCATGTCTATGTAATCTTATGTTCAAAACAATAAGTGAAGAGGCAAACATTACATCTAGCAACTAAAGTAAATTTGTAGATGTGGATCATCCTGGAATGCAACAGTGTTGTTGTTTAGGAATAATATCATTTTCAAATGCATGATCTAAAAGCCGTTGAATAATTATCCTTTCCATGACTTTACTCACGGTGTTTGTCAAACTTATTGGTAATTTTTTGTCTCTTTTCTTGAAAACTGGTGTGATGACTATTTTTTTCCATGCAGAGGGCTTCCCTGATTTTAATGATTGTTTAAATCTTCTGTTCAGTAAAGGGGCTAGTTGTAGTTTATAATTTTTCAGATACATGGTTGGAATACCATCGGGACCAGTGGATGAGCTTGCAGTCAGTCCACATATTATCTGGGCAGTTTCGATGTTTGAAAATTCAATATTTTCAATAATTCCGGTACATTTTTCTTCAATAATCGGCAATGTGTCTTCTGGACCAGTTTTACAGTTAGTTAGTTTTCGTATATAGGAGAAGAATCTTTTGCCACCCTCCTTAACACATTGCTCTTCTATGTTTTTTGTTTACTGTCTCCCATTACAGGTGAGATTGCTTGAGATGTTCCTATAGATGGTGTAACTTTCATCTGTTCCGGTTCTTCTATAATTTGCCCATGCTCGATATTTGAGTCTGCTTTGTTTTATGATCTTATGATTAATCCAAGGTTTATTTAAATTTATTCTATTCTTGATATGTGGTGAGTAAGTATTTAAAAGACCCTTTCACAAAAGGTCTCATAATTAGTTTCAACAAAGTTGTTTTCAGCGTCTTTGTTAATATCTGTAATTTGTAGCGTATGGCGTTCAGCAAGTTATTGTTATTGTTCAGTTGTATATTTCATTATTGTTATGTAGTCTGCTTGGAAGAAATTACATTTAGAGATGGATTTATAAGAAATACTATTATTCATCGATGATTCTTTTTGTAGCGATGTCATAATCATAAAAATCACTTTGACCAATATTTGGCCTTATAATCAGGGGTGTAATGAAGTCTTCATTATTAGTTACACTAAATCAAGAATTGCAAGGTTTTGATTTACTCCGTATCTAGTAGGCTCAAATACCATTTGAGTGAGATTTGAGTCTACATAATGTTTAATAAATTATCTTTCAATTTCTGATCTTTCCATATTAATTTTCATATTTCCAATTAATTTGATCTATTCATATATTTCCAAACTCTCATTACCAATATTTATATTTACATTTATATAATTCAGTTGCCAATACCATTACTTTTCACGTTTTCTTTCTTGCGGGTATCAGCATACAATATACTATTGCTTACCTTGTCACAAACAGATCAGCGATTTCTGGAAGTTCTGTTTGTTTAAATGATTCTTTGATGGCAATTAACTTTTTGTTTGCTAACCTAATAAATAATTGCCATCAATCAAAGAATCATTTAAACAAATTAACTAAAATTATCAGACTTGTTATTAAATAATAAATAACCTATTTATTCATAATTATTATAAAATTTTAAATTGTGAGAGTAACAGAGCAGTAACCAAGGGGCCAAAGAGATTCTCCAGGGGTGGAACACACCGGACTAGTGGGTGCTCTACGTCTGCGAGAGGGACTGGGGAATAATGGTGGACCTCGCCTACCTAACTTCACTGAGAGACTTTAGCTCCCTTCCCGGGAGAGTAGCTCCCTTATTTGTTCCTTGGCGAGTGTCTTTTAACTTTTCTTAGGTGTAATTGTATCTATTTGACCTTTCCGTGTCGTTGAAAATTTAGAAATTGTTGCCACTGTCCAGGTTTGATCTTGCCACAAAATAGTGGTATCTCGTGCTAACGTAACAAGCCTGCCAGTATTGTGTCACTAATGTTATTTTAGTAACATTATTTTTCTATTGATCTTTTGTAAATTTATCTCTTGATTATGGAGGTGGTGTGCTGTAAGTGCAAACAGTAAGTGTAAACGATAGAAAAGTGATGTAGAATATGTGAATTGTGATACATGTCAATCCAAATATCACCCGGAATGCACTACACTAACAGCAACTGAACTATAGGTCTTTTCTCTCATAAATAAGAAAAGACAGATGTTTTACTGCGAAAGTTGCTAGAGTAAAGACCAAACAAATGTGCAATTAGCTGGAGCAAAGCTGAATAATAAAATTGACTAACTACAAAAGTCAAATGAATCCCTGAAGGAAGAAATGAAAGGTTTAAAGCAGGCTCATTGACCTGAATTGGCAAATCGTGAGAAGGTTGATTTTAAATCCTTATATGCAGAATGTATTCAGTGACAATAGTGAGCTAAAAATATAATCATGAACGATGCAAGTGAAAACTGTGATTTGTCAACAGAAGAGTGCCTGTTCCATGATAAACAAATAGTTCATTTCTACATGAAATACTTGATAATGATGTTGACATATCAACGATTTGTTTTGGCAACATAAACATCAACAAATTGACACCAAGGCCTCGTGCAAAAAGATATCAGTCTGGAAATCTTAACGAGTAGCTCACATATGAAATTAGTGGGAGTATGCGTTAAACTTAAAATTCCACCTTTCTAACATTGAGTAATAAATTGTATAGAGAAAGAATTCTGTCTTGCATGTTGGAGGTGAAGGAGTGGTTTGAAAATAAATTTGAACTTTCTGCCATTTTCAAAAATTTCGTAATTATAATGAAAATCAGAACTATACCATATTTATAAATGCACTTTTTTCTATTTGAGCAAAAAATTTCTTCAGAAATTTTTTAAACTGTCATGGCTTCATGTAAAGTACCCCCAAAAAACATTAATGATCTCTAGAACAGCAGAACTTTTTCTATCAGCCCTCTGGCACTATAGTTTTGCTATGGCTTGCTATTACAGTAGTCAATCTCTTCGGTTTTCTGCTTTTGTTCTCTTTTCTTTTCACTCTTATGGTCCTCAGATCTTCCACCTCAACTTTGGGCTGACTCTTCGCTTATTCTTCCTACCAGCCATTCTCCCTACATATATCTTCTTTATTGTCCTCACATCCTTCATTGTTTTTATATGTCCAATCCATTCCAATCTTATTTTGATGCAGATAACTATCTTACGTGTTTTAATAAGTTCAACTCTGCACTTGTTCTACTCTCCAGATGTCATTTTCTTTAACCACTAAGATTTTCCTTTCCCATAGTGCCAGGTTATTTTCCATTTTCTTTGTGAGGGTTCAAGCTTCAGAACCACAATACAAATGGTTTGATGACAGTATTGTACAATTTTAACTTAGCAGCCTTTGAGATCCTTCTAGTCTTAAAAATTTTGTAGAGGTTGCCGTAACATCTATTTACTTGCCATTATACTCGTTTTAATACCCTTTTCTACATCATTATTTTCAGTAATATAGGAACCCTAGAGCAGCGGAACTAGATCTTTTCCTCATGTATTCTCCAAGTTTCAGCTGAAATGCTTATAAATTGACAAGTGCCTAAACTGCATGTATCATCAGGCCACCTGCATTATACTTAATCTTTGTAGCAGCACTTAACCCTGAACGTGTGTGTAAAGTTACAGCACAAAATAAACACAAACATGGATTTTATGACTAAATATTTGAGATCATATTGTTGAGATAATTCCAATAAAAATGTCTTAGCTCAGTAATGCTATATTGAATTCTAATAATGAAATTTTATTGTTCCAGGTTGACAGTAAACTAAAGCATCTTATTGCAGATAATGGAACTATGCAAACAAGTAGTTTTGAAAACTGGGGGTTTCAAAAATTTTTTTTTAATCCTGGACTCTATGATGATTCTAATAACATGGATAGTGCTGCAGTTCTAGAATAGTTTAAAGAAACTGTGTATAAAATATTATATTTTAATATTTTGTTTAATGATTTTTTTAAAATTTGAGTCAAAGCTATTAGTGTTTTGTAGAACTTCCTTATGTGTGCAATCAATGACAATTTAGTGCCTAGATCAAGATTTTATTATTGTCAGTTGTGTGAAAAGACTGGAAGTATTTAAATGCATTTAAAGTTTCAGATTTTATCTCTGGATATAAGTGTAAAAATTATTTTTCAAATTAGAAATATTGGTGCATGTGGTTTCTCTTTTGGAAATCACTTTAGACAAACATATTCCTTGAAACAGAAATTGACTATTTTTCTATGGATTTGCTTAAAACTACAATTGTAATTTAGCCTCTCCAAGACTGATGACATTGAAAATGAATTTTTTTAAAATGAGTTTTTAGGAACTAGGATGTGATTACTCATTTTTTAATTATTTGGAACAGTCATTGTTAAATTTATAAATTTGAAACTACATTCAAGGAAATGTTTCTATGTAAGATTTTAGCTTTAATGATATTTGATAGATACATTTAATGATTTTTTTAAGACTCTTATGATTTGTATAAAGATTTTTTAAATAAAAATGAAAGAGGGGAGAAGGATATTGAAAATTGATGAAATAGAGAGCTGTTTTTTAAATCTTTTGTAATATGGAAACTATTTTCCAGTAACTTTTATTGCAATGTTTTTTAATTTGGAAGGGAATGCAAATTTTATTTATTATCATAATGCAAGAATATCCTGAACCCCTTGTGTTGGTTATAATTAAAAAAAACAAAAACAAACTTGTTGTAATATTAGAATTTTGCCAATTACGATGTTTTTTTTTTACCACAGTGCAACAATCTTTTTTATCCGGGACAATGATTTTAAAGGAAAATTCTTTGATCTCAGTATTAAATGTCTGAGTGAAGGCAAAATGTTATATACATGTATATTTTTGTTTTTGTATATTTACTTTTATTGAATATTTATTACCAGGAGAAATAAATTGAAGTGTGTTCCATCAAAATGTAAGACTTTGTTGAAGTATTCTAAGGATAAAGAATGTGGAAATTGTTATAAAACTGCGAAAGTATCAAACAATATTGGGAAAAAGTGCAATTTATTAAAAGATCCTCAAAAGCTCCCATACTGGCAAACCCAGTTTTCTAAGTATCGAATTCTCAAGATCAATAAATGGCACATTTGAATACTATAATTCCGAAAAAGATGTACTTAAATTACAGAGAATTCACAATATTTATGGGATTCAAGAAAATTTAGCATTTTAGTCCCTTTTCCTAATAAAGTTCGACAATAAATCAGAATACTTCCAAAGTTACGCTGAAAGGGCAGTGAATAGCACTCATGACCATTCATCTCCACTTCCACCTTCCTGCTAGGCACCGTCTTGAAACTGAATAGCATTCAATGATGTATACTGATATGAAAAACTGACTTGCAATTTTTCTGCCGGATACAATCTTAAGATCTACCAACATAACATTGAGTGCTTGACAACCTTTCTCAGGATAAATTGTTTAGTTAGTTGGTTAGTAGTTCTTCAGAACTTACATTGTGGGAGTTTTGGTCAATGAAAGCAAACCACAGGTGCTTCAATGTTAGCTAAGTGAGATGTTAAAACAATAGATTTGATGGGCAAACAAATATTTGCAAAGAAAGGGTTAGTCAAATGACTCTTCTGAAGTAAAGTTAGTCTGAAGATTTCACATATTTTCTCTTACATGCCCAGTCATATATTCTGAACTTTTGCATTTTGTAATGCCATACTACTTACGTTACTAGACGATCTATAATGAACAGTCAGGGTTGTCTTGAATAAAAATGAATGCCAAATTGGCTGTAAGGATAGAAATAATTTTGCTTTGTAGTGGTCTTTACCTGGCCTTTTCGCAAAGGAATGAAAGTCTGTGTCGGTAGGTCAATTTATTTAAAAAATCGGTAAAAGCTATTCCAACATCATGAAAACAAATTTTATTGCACAAAAAATTAAGATATAAAATTAACTTGAAAATGAACAGAAATGTCACACCATTTTCACTTAAACAATTTTTTTTTTTGAAGTTTGTAAATAGTAAAGTTTCAAAAATATTCAATACTGTTATTTTTTTTAGATGATTTTTAAAATCATCTTATAGCCTAAAAACAGTACAAATGAAACTCAATATTAGGACACCCTAAGTAACAAAATCCTTTTGCATTTTTTCCTCAGTAGAGTGGTATTTTCACGATACATGTGTCATAACCTATTATGTATTATTAAAAAACAGAGATCAACTTTTTTCTAGATCAATCCAACAAACCATATTGTAAATCTTTCAACTTTCTCGTCCTAATAGGTTTTCATAACCACAATATCTTTTCAATTATTTATTATTCACTTATTGAGCAGGGACACAAAACTGAACCTAATTTATAAATGTAAGGGTAAGTAGATCATTTGAAAGTAATTCCCGAGTACTACACTCCCTCAGGGCCTAGGGTATTGTAGATGCCGTATACAGAAATGTAAAAATCTAAATTGAAAATATGAAAAATTGAACTTAAAATGGGATTTTTAAACAATCTAGAAAATGATTTGGTCAACACTATATGAACAAGATATTAATACTGTTTACATTATTCAGTTCAAGAGGTACAAGTTGAACACAATAGGAATTAATGCTCTTTATAGGATTTTCTTGACATATGCAAGAAATAGCTCTTTCATCTTTATGTGAGCTCTATATAGAATTGATTCCTTTACTGTGACATATTGCATTAACAGAGGACAATTTTTTGAGTTTTTTAATCTCTGTATTAGTAATGTATGAGGCAATTGTCTTGTGTATTACCTTTCAACCAACTCTACAAAAGGAGGATCTTTTGTTATTACATACACTTATGTTACATAATTGTTTATAACAAGTTACAGTTCCTGCTTACTATTTCAAAAAATAAATGTCTATTTTTTTCTTGTTTATATTTCATAACAGTCTACTACAAGTACCCACAATTTCAGATAACGTACTAGTGTGTCAATTGCAAAATAAGAGAGAAAGGAACATCTTTCATCACAAAAATAATTTCTTAATGCCAAAGTATTTCTTTAGTTCTCGGTATTCAAACAACTATTTAATTTCACACAGTAGTATTAAGATAATCTTTCATTGCTTCATTTACTTGTTATTGGAATAGGTACTCTGGCACTAGAAACGGAATGGGCCCAAGAGATAATTTTTTTGTTCTTTACAACAAGCTTTTGTCTATTACGGCTGTATTGGATTTACGAATTTGTACTAAAAACTCCTACTAGTAACTGATACTTTATGTCTCATAACTGCACTCACTCTTAATAAAATTACCACATGTTTGCGTTCATGCATTGATTCATCTACCCATAAACAAAAAAACATACATACATACAAACATACATATGCATTTTACATGGCTCAAAACTTCGCAGCAACAGATCTCAACACATTATAATTCACAATAAGAAAAAAGAGAAAGGGAGGTCATAATAGAATATTGAAACTATGATTAAAAGAGATATTGAAATGTTTAGGAATAAAACTTATTCTGTCTCAAAATGGTTAATTTTTGAATGTTTACTGATGCTTAATAAAGATTTTATGAGTATCACCAATTGATGAAAGCTGTTACTGCTAAGTACCTACTTTTTCTGATATAAATTAAAATAAATAATTTAAAAAGTTATTTCAACAAAGAAAAGTACACTACAGAAACATTACAATACATTAAGTAAGAAAAACAAAGCACCACAAGTTACACGTACTGGATTTCAGGCCTTTGGTACCAGCCATCAGTCTCCTTCTTTGGTAAGAAACTTACAGTGAAGTCCCAACAAAAAGATACATCACAGAACTTTCATTCTTTCAGTCTTCTAAAATATTGTCGGCCACTTGTATTACTGTGTGGCGGCGTTCTTCAAACATACTCTTTGCGTAGTTGATATAATGTACCACCTGCAAAAAATATGATCTTAGATGAATATAATTTTAATAAGACTGAAAATTGAATAATTTTACTTTCATGCCTCAAATCAACCTATCAAACTTTTTTTTACCTCATTAAAAAGCATTGCAATTCTAAGAACTCTTTTTCATATTGTTTTTTCATAACCTTAAGGAAGATTGTACTTGTTTATATTTGGATTAAATGAACAGTACTGTAGTCAAGAATTAGTATTTGTTGTGACAGGAATTGTGATTAGGCTCCAAGGAGATGAGAAGTTCTTGGAGAAACAAACTGTCCAATTAATTAAATTATTAGCTTAAATTGTTTTGGCTGCAATGTACTTCCAACATTTCTCAAAGCATTTTTTCACAACAATAAGAACTAAATAAGGCAGAAGAAAAAGAGTAAAATTGTATTTATTGACAAGGAAGAATGATATTTCAAGACAGTTTGTGATACGACTAACAAAAGTGAATTTGATTTGTTCCTTGGCCGGGAGTATAATTTGCAGTTTTAATTTTTCAGAGCAGCAGTTCTGAATCATGATGCAACTCTGCTGATTTTGCTTCAAGTCATCAAATCCAGTACACTCTGCCTGACAGTCATTGATTCACTACAATGGAAAACAAGCTAAACTAATTTGTAAGAACACATACTTTCAAAGCCCTAACATGACTTATTTGCCTAATGGTAAAAATCTGATCCTCTGCTGAGTCAAATATTTGGTTTATCATACATGATAAGAGTCGAAATTAAATAGTATTTAAAACAATAAATTTCATGGACACAGAATTTGAAATTACATAATGTACTATAATGAATTATTCAAATACTGTTAATTCAAATGTAAAGTTCCTCTATAGACTAAGGAGTTATATCATTACTCTATGATTCCTGTCAATACTTCCCGAGATATCAATTACTTAAAGCTGCTTGACATACTGTCACGGCAAAGCTCAATTGCTCTGAATGTAATAGAGAATTCACAAGGGTTGCTTGAAATAGAGCAAGTAGTTGAAACATTTTTTAAAGGGGGGGGGGGGGTTCAGATGGGGTAGGAAACTCATTAGGTCTATGATAAATTAATATTCAATGTAATGTAACTTATCTAAATTCAGAGCTGACTCCTCTGTTCAGAGCAACAGGTGGACTGGATTTCTGCATAATTGAGGAAGTATATAAAGAAAGTTAATTTTTTTTAACTCACCCTCTTTGCTATTTCTATATCGTCACATCGTACCCTGGGTCTTCTGCCTGCGTCCTGATTGCACAATTCAATATAAGGTGCAACTGACGAATCACCTGGTGATTGTTGGCTCACCAATGAGCACTGAGCAAGCTCCCTACATGGTAAGTTTCAATTAAATTCTCCAATATCCATAAAATTAATTTTAAAGTACCCATATAAATAATGCATATCTAAATAAACATGTTAAACATATTCTGGCCTTGTTTTCAAAACAGTCTCATTAATACTATTTTTCAACAATTTTGTTTAATGTTTCAATCCTTTTTCGGGTCTTTTTCAAAAATTGTTCCTTGGGTCCAGGATTGTAACAAGACTTATAATATTTTAAAACTATTGAGTATCATTTCATATAAAAGTTCAATATTAATAGTAATTAGAGTAAAAAACTATGGGTCTATTGATGTTAACATGTTAAAGATAACCAGGTCAATTCATAGTGAAAAGGTCAGAATATTTTTCATATTAACCCCAAGTTTATTGAGTGGGTACAATATTTACCCACACCATATATATTTTTTAAAGAAGTTATTTAAGCTTTTAAAATATAATTCTGACAGTTCATGATTTTGTCTTTTAAGCTTTTCTTGGTAGTTATATAACACTTGGCACTTTGTTTTTTACATATTTAACATACTAAATACTTCAAAATGACCATAAAACCTATATAGGTAGTGCTTTATTGAAGACATTGAACCCTATTTTAACCTTGTTGTATCTACAACAATTTTTAAAATGAACAACAAAAATTTAAAATACAACCCGCTATTAAAGGATTCAGGGACTGAAGGTACTGTTATCAATTAAAATTTGCATTTAAAAAATAATAAACAAAATAATATGAAAATATTTATATTTTTTAATTAAAAGAAAAATTACCTTTTACCTGCAAATAGGAACAACAATGTCCTCAATCCATTAAATCACAATCTTTTATTAATAAAAAAGGTGTTAAAAATAGGCATTTAGTTTGGCAAATAAAAGAAAGAAAGTAGGTCCAAAATGTACCCAGTCAGTGAAACATGAAAAATATTTAGCTTAGGAAATAAAGCAAAACGCAAGATAATAAATGACTCCTTACTCGTTAAAATCCAAATGAACATTTTTTTGGATTTATAGCAAGAGTGATCATTACTTACCCAAGAGGGGTCTGAAGAACTGTACTGACTCCCCCTGAAGGGCTGCCCGTGAACACAAGAACTCTTTCACTAGAAACAAGGACCCGTAAACCATCTGGCCCACTTAGCAAACAATCATACCATACCAATCTGAAAAACAAGACAGGAAGTGAACTATAACTACATCCAAACAAGAGTGGATATCCAAAATTTATGAAAATGTCACAGTTTTTAAATGTATTATGAAACCAAATAGTTTTACAATAAGATGTATCTAAATACAAAGGAGCAAAGTGCCAAAATTTAGAAAAGTTATATTTATCATTAGGAAAGAGTAATTTATGAAGGATTGTATCAATATTAATGATCAAATACAGAGAAAAAACACACCAACATTCATATATTATGAAAAAGCTTAAGACACTGAAATAACAGAAAAACTATGGGAAGTTCTTACAGAGGAGGGCACCCAAACAAATAATTAAAGGAATGTGTGTATGAATACTCAAAGATACACATAAGACTTTACCACAAAAATATACAACCCTACATGAAAATTGTCTCTTTTCAACAAAGATTCATTTTTACCAAGGATGAAAGGCTTTAGATCAGTTGGGGCATAGTTGTCTAATTGGGAGCTTCTAAAGCTTTTCTGACCACAGAGTCTAGGTCTCTCTGTCACTCCTTGGCGATTGTGTAACTAGTGGTGCAACAACAGCATGTACTTTCTTGTGATACTGATAATGACTAATATGACAATTTCCATCTTACACTTCAACTACCAATTGAGAAATTCTTAAACAAATGAAGAGTGGAAAATACATAAAATTTTTAATTCAAACGTTTAAATGAAGATGGCTTTTGACCATTGAATTCACGTTCTACATATATGTACCAATGATGCGCAATGCGTACTTTAGCCATAAATAAAATTATTAGGTTATATTAACGCGAGCCATTAGATAAAAGATATAGTGATTAAATAATATTAAAAGCAATTTTTCTTTTGAAGATTCAAATGAACAGCCTCATGAATGGCCATAATGGTTCCATGTCAATGTTCAACAAAGAGAATTAGAGGTATTTCATTATCTTATTTTCTAGCCGTTCTACAATGAACTTCTCAAATTTCCATTGCTGCATTGTTTCCCAAGGTAGCTTAGGTTATAAAATGAAATTATAGCTAAAATGTTCGTACAAATTTATGGTACTCTGACTTTTTCACCCTTAAAAAAATACTTCTTTAGAAGAGAAAGTTATGTCATGCTGCAAGAAAAAGTGGCAACTTTTAGGCAGAAAAACTCTTATTTCAATTATTCTTTCATGTAAAGAATTAGAAATAGAGCTAATATAATGCAAACCCAACTAATTCAAACAAAGCACCTATGTTGGTGCCTTGCATTTATTTCAATAGCCTGGAACAGTGGTCACTTCTAACTTTTACAAATGAAACATACCATACTCAGTGATCAAAATGTCTTGGAGTAAAAAAGTGTTAGTTCTAATTTAAGTGTATTATCTTTGTTGAATCTACTTTCTTTTATAAGAATAACAATAGGCTCCAAATATCTCTCAAATTCACAAAGTGCAGGAAATTCGAAGCAGGCAACTATGTTTGAATTAAATTACTTAAATAATACTAATACTTTCGAAAAATATTAGCATTATGTATAGTATTAGTATTAGTACTATGTATCCAGGTGACACAGCGGGTATCACCAGGCTGTGAGCCTGTGGTATTCACGTGCTTCCTGTCAATTTCGTTCAACTCAACGCACTTTGTTCCACAGAATATCAAGTAACACCAAGATTAAAATCAAAGTAAGAATTTTTTTCAAGTTGGAATTTGTGGCACCGAAGCGATATATTTTTCTGAGGAGAGAAAAAATTTTCAGGACGTTCTATTTCCTATGTTCACTACCCCCCCACCCCCTTCCTCAAATTTAGTAACTGGATTTATCCACTTTTTTCTTACCAAGACCTGGCAATAAGAGTTTGTCTGCCGAAAATTCACCTTTTTCCCCTGCAGCATTTCACAACTTCCTCTATACCGTGTAAGTGGTAGCAAGAAAGGGAAAAGGATGAATGTGAGCTTAAGTTTCCACTTCGAAAAATAATAAGAATTTATTGCAATTAAATGTAAACTTTCGCTGAGAAGATGTATTTTTTATGACAACTCAGATAAAAATATTTGTAACAAAAACTAAAAGGCAAATTTTATGTTGATTTTTGCCTTTAGTATAACAATCCGCTTCCCCAATTTACGTTAGTTGCTGCAATCCCCTTCTGTGTCTGTGCTTCTCAATATGAATACAAAAAAAAAAAAGATTTTATTTATTTCATTAAAAAATCTTCAATAAACTATCTCCCTTCTGAAAACAAAATTTATGGTTGCAATTTATAGTTGCTGAAATTATCTTAGTTGGGTTAAAGCATACTTACACTTCCGAATAATTTCTTTCATTAAGACTATACAATAACTCTTGCCCTTCACTTTGTTGTTTATCATAAACTGGGAGTAAGCCTGATGGCCCTGTTACACAACGAGGAGTCCGAAAACGACGACGAACCAAGCGGTGAGAGCTGTATAAATAAAACCAATTTGAAATAATTAAGAAATGCACTTATTAGAAATCATTCCTATAACTAAAAATATCAAATTTCAAACTTTAAAGACATTTTAATTTATAGATCTCAATTTATTCTTACCTTCTACTAGAATCTCTGACTGCACTAGCGGTTTCAGATGCAAGATCAAGAACTCCCACCACAGGTTTTGTAACAGTTCCCACTAGTCCTTTCCCAAGGCCTGAGATGAAACCCTGAGAAAAATAAAAAAATCAAATATCTCCTACTATAATACAATATAAAAGAAATTCACAAAATGAAACAGATCTCTTAATCTATGGTAATATATGAAATGCTTCACATTAAAAGTTATCAGTTGTCATGAATTGATTTAACATTATCTCTATCTTGAATTTACTTCTTATATTCAAGGGTAATCACAAATTTATCATACCAATACTGTGAAGTACCCTGAAAACACCAATGATGGGATTATATGTGGACCCAGAATAAATTGCAAACAATTGAAAGACAAATGAATATGTTAAAAACTACTGCTACCATATTTGGCAATATTTAACATGTGTTTCCTGCAAGTTAGTGTTATATTATTTTCAGTTTTTCAGGAGTGGCACGAGCAAATATATTTTTAACATTTTCTGAATTTGCAGTCCTTTCCATGGGGACATAATGTCCATGACTTTTTTTCAAAGATTTATTTTAATCTTGCTAGGAATTTACAACAATTCTCTACATCAACAGAACCTAAGGAAAGATTTCAGCAGATTTATAGGCTGGCTTGGCTGCAAGAGAATGCTAAATTTTCCACAAAACAGTTATAATGGTAATGTGCCCAATTGTTTTATAAACATTTAATAAGTGAAGAAAGATGAAACAATCATTACAGTTAAACAAAGATTCTAATAATTGAAGTCCTCAATGAAACACTATCTCCTTACCTTAATAAAGATAAAGTGATGTATGATGTTACTCTCCACCCTTGATATGCAATTTGAACTTGGGAGGCATCACAGAGATACCATGAACTAGTGGTGCTGTAACAGCACATACTTTCTTACATTATTTGTAATGGCTATACAATTTTATACTACATGAATCTACAAAAGTGTTTCCAAACAACAAAAATTGTTTCTTCAAGCTGGGATTCAAACTAGTTCCTATGCCATTCACATTACCCCCTGCATCAGTAGCCTCGCAATGAAACTCAAATCTTCTTGAAGTTCCAAAAAAAGTTGAACATTTGCATTTGCAATTTTCAAAAATTCCCACTACTTTAAGATCTAGTTTTAAAGAGTGGAGTTTGCCTAACTTAATGAAATTATTATCAATTTAGTAAGTTATGAATGTAAATTTTTGTTTGTAATTTTCAAAACTTTTTTGAGAGTTTGCTGCAAGTGGGACCTGCCCTATATTTTTAAGCATCCTATGTTCTATCCGAGGACAAAATCTGAAGCAGTTTTTGAGATTTTGACTTTTTCACACACTGCTCCAGCAGTATAGAGAAAGTATTGTAATGCTGCAGAAAAACGGCAATAATTTTTACAGGAAAGCCCTCATTCCCGGGCCCTTGTAACAAAAAGGTAGATAAATCTATTCCTATATGTAGGAAAACACTTTTTCTAACACATGTAGTCAGTTTGGTGGGTCGTTGATATTGACAAATTGCTAGACGGCAAAATGTCCACCTTTGAAACAATTTTCCCCCCACAGATTTTGCTCTAATTTTTTTCTTTAAATTTTCTCCTCCAATGTATCAAAGGACGATACTAAAACGAGTGCTAGTTCCATTTCCAGCAAACACACTGTATTTTGAAATATTGCAAAAATTAACATTTATTTATTTATTTTTGAAATTAATTAATAACTTTATTTATTAACAGACTTAATGTCCTCAATTTACAATTTATATGTGAATTAACAAGAAATGAGTTACACGTTCTGTAATGACATTAATAATAGTGCAACAGCAGTGGTCTAGCTTTGCTTGCAAAGCTGCCAGGAGACACTTGATTTACATTAATAGGGAGTTTGTTCATTGTTGTACATAGTCTGTTGATGGGGTTATTTGCTGTACACATACGGACCCTGAGTGGGCTACTACTCCACACATGCACTTGTTTTACCAGAGGATGTTATCCTAAGGGTGGGCCCCTAAGCTTCGTGTTTTATCACCCCCTGCCGGTGCACAAGTTCGTCGACAGGCTGGTATCTGGATCCAGCCGGAATGCAGTATGCCCTCTCGGCAACCTCCTCATTCAATATCTGTGTCGAGCTGCCTTGCCAACACAGAGCTCTTAGCTTTTCAGGCTAGTACCAGAGTCACAACAATGAGCTACTCACATGCGCTGAAACAAGTCCCTCCTCTTTGCCCAGAGTATCATGCCATTGGCACCATGAAGCCGAGAGCCTAACTGGGGTCACCTGAACTAAGGTTCGGGCAGCTCAGGGCTCCCATCCTGTCTCCTCACTATCTATACCTTTAGGCTACTGACGTGAGTACCACCTTGAACCTAGGCAACCTGATGAGTGGTAATATCCTGCTGGATATGTGGATTCCAGAGCATTCAGAAGAATGTCCTTCACCCAATCCAAAAGTCGATGCACAATAGGCCCGATAGGTGGGTTACCAGCACGCCAGAGACCAATAGCTTTGCATCGCCTACTCACTGCCTCCACCTTGAGACTAGTGCCGCCGTAAAACTTAAGAGCCTGGGAGGTCGTCTACAACTCTCCACCAGAGACCGTGTCCACCTAGGGAGACAAGATCCTCCCCTTTCTTGTGCAGGATACATTGTATTTATCAATTCTGGAGTGTATGTTTTTCTAAGTGTTGATGTACGAACTTTGAAATTCAATTGTTCTTGCAGCAAAGGACAGCCTATTTGATTATTTAATAATTTATATAAAAAATATGCATCTCAAAAGATCTGTAGAAGACTTGAGTGAAAGCAGATAAAAGACAGCTGAGATTTGGTTTTCTTTTTTTGCATTGCATAGCATTGCAAAAGTACAACACTGAAGATAGAGATTCTTGTCTTACATGAAATCTGTTTTAAAAAATGCGGTCTTTAAAAAGACCTAGTAAATTTTTTTGAAAAAACTTGTAATTTCTTGTTGAAGTTCATACAAATTATATAAAACAAGACTATATATTATATATGTTCTCGAAAACTGCTCCAATTTTTTTTTGCGTGAATAGAAGAAGGGAAGCTTAAAAGAATGGCACAGGTCCTAATCTTGTCGATCTTTCAGAAAGCAAATTAAGAAATAATGCAAGAAAGCATGTGCTGTTCTAGCACCACTAATTCCTTTTTTAAAAACATTCTCTCGACTGCATGGATGTTCAACAGAACAAGCATAACAACAACAACAAAAAAGAGGCAAGCACACTAAAACTACAAAGTACATTTCTTGGATGAAAAAGTGAACATTTTTAACTTTTATCAGTGATGATTCTCTTGTTTTTCCACGTTTGATGAACAAAAATAAAAGTAGTGTTTTCACTAATGTCATTTGAGGATTCAAAAGACATTATTGCAGTTCATACTATCACTTTATAGAGAGAGCATACCAATGAAACAAATTTGTAGTATTTATGGTGAAATTTATTGTGCCACAAAGTAGTATGTGCAGTGCGGGAATTTGGCAAAAATGTATTTTCTATTTGCACATGTTTAATTTTTGCAATTTTTAAAAAACATTTAAGAATTGAAAAGTAGTTTGTCTGCATATCCTTTTAATAATTATTTGTTTTATTTTACAAAACTGTTTTAACCATATTTTAACCAGAATAAAATGATGCTTTTGCTTCCTTATTTTAGGTAAAATAAATGCCTGAACTTCCAGCCTTTAGTCATGAATAACCTTAACACAACTCTCTCTCTCGCAAGAGAAACAGCTACAACATATAGGCAACCTACCACCTATGCACATGCACATGCACATGCACATGCATCAAAAGTTACAAGTATGTATGAAGTACCTGCATTCCTTCAGTAGTTGCACCTTCATATGTTTGACGAAATACACTCGTGAAACCACCAAGAAGTCCAAAACCAAGACCTTTAAAGCCAGCAATTATATGATCACCACTTGTCATATTGTGCGCACCTCGAATTCGCTGTCGTGTCTCTTCATGTTGCTCATCCATAATAACACGACCTAAACCATCTGACAGAGATTCTGAAAGACAGAAAAAACATTAGAATTTTTTAACTCTGCTGTGTCATTCATGTCTTTTTGAACTGACTGCTATTTCTTTTATTGTCAATTTCATTAGTTTATGCTCTATGCATATATATTTTCATGACTTTATTTTCAGAACATTCATCTATCAGATTTCGCATAGCACAATAAAATGATATTTACACTTCTGTCACTACAAAAAACTGAACACATAAGATGTTCTGGTCACTTTTGTCCTGACTTGTGAAAATCACAGCCGTCCATATTTGCATAAAATCAAACACTAATACGAGTCATAGCAACATGTTTGTTAGGTTAGGCCTTGCAAATCCTCTTATCTATATATACTGCATTCTGTGTTCCTTTACTCTGCGTTGTACAGTGTTACATCCTGTTCATAGAGTATGAGCTATTGTAGCTTCAAGACAACCAAGGTACATAGTATGTTGAACACCAAGGGAATTCTGATGAGAACATGTCTCATTATCAAAATTCCTTGGATGAAGAAACGTCCTCTGAAACTGTAAATCATATCTCCATTCCATCAGATGATGACATGTGAGACAAGAAACCAGATGCAGCAAACCTGAATTCAAAATTTATGTTATCAAAGGACAAGAAAATTGAGTGGTCTCACAATATTCTGACTTTGCCCCTAGACTTAATAGACACTCCACTTCCAGAGAGAGATGAATTATCTGCTTTTATGTTGTCCCCCCCCCCTCCCCCGTCAATTGAGAATCTTGTTTCGACAAATTTGAACATTGAAGGTCGTCAAATATGTAATGAAGAATGGATATACCTGGATACTCAGGATTTGTATTCTTATCTTAGTTTATTGATGTTTTCATATTCCACAAGGAATCTATAGAAAGTTTCTGAGATGCTGAAACACTTAGAACAATTTTTTGTGTCGGAAAATTTCAAAAGAATTTCAAGAGTGATAAGGTTTAACAATAAAGAAACACAAACCAATAGAAAAGCCTGCGATAAATTTGCAGCCATCAGAGAAGTTTGGGATAAATGGGTTGAAATTTTGCCTACTCTACCCAACCCAGATGCATATGAGCCAGTTGATGAGCAGTTGGATGCGTTCCAAGGTACATGCCCATTTAGGTATTACAGTTGACTGGTTAAAGTGAATACTCAGTTATAGTGAACTTAAGTCACTGGTCCTGTTTCACTTACATTACAAATACGCATAAGAAGTTTCAGTTATAGTGAACCTAAACCTTGGCTATAGTGAAAATATATTGCCTCAGTGCCACAAATACCGACTTGAAAAAAATGTTGTCGGTCAAAAATCATAATCGAAAAATGTGGAGGAAGTCCCAGAGGTGAAGGTAGCTGACCTAGAACAGGGACCTTACGCCACTGTTTCACTGTAGAAACAAAGATCTCGTCTTGTGAGCACTGTAACTGAAGGCAATGATGGGCAATTGCTTGCTTTGTTTCAATCTTGGTGTTACTTGATATTCTGTGGAACAAAGTGTGTTGAGTTGAACGAAAGTGACAGGAAGCACATGAACACCACAGGCTCACAGCCTGGTGATACCCGCTGTGTCGTGCTGATCAGTTTCATTAGTCCCTTATGCCATCCCACTGCCGCAAGGATCTTGTATGTTATAAGGCAAGTAAAACGGCATACGGAGAAAGGGACGATGTTCCAAGAGTGCAGCTAAAATTTAAGGGTGTCAAGACCGCATTATGAAACTTACAGACAGAGGACAATGCAGAATAAAGTACGGAGAGAGCACAAACCCTGAAGAAAGATCTAGAAAAATTACTAATGAAACATATAAGAAGCAAATAATTGAAAATAATTGACTTTTTAAGGACAAATAATGATATTGAAATTTTCAGTTAGTGCGGTTAAATATTTTGCTGGACCTTTATATTAATAAAATCAATAATTGTGGAGAAATTCCATTTAATTTTGACAATATTGGTTATAGTCAATCTCGAATACAATGAACCAAAAATGTTATTCCCAGATGTTCACTATAACCAGAGTCGATTGTACATGCCAAATAAGCATGCAATTAACAGAATAAAGTTTTGGGTTTTATGTGATAATAACACATTTTACTTGTGGAATATTCAGCCTCCTGGAAAAAGAGAGAAAAAACCCATTGCAGACAAAAGATATACCCAAAACAACTTCAAAATTTGCATTTACGTGTAACACCAGCTTGGTTTCATACCTTCCAGAAAAATCCAACAAATGTATTGTACTGCAGAGTACATTTCTTAGCGATAAAGAAGCGTGTATGCAAGAAAATAAGAAGCCTATGATAATGCTTGTCTACAACAAAACAAAAGGAGCAGTCAATAAATGGACAAGGCGATTGTATGTTATACAACAAAAATAAAATCTAACTGTTCACCACTTATTGCCACTAATAATATAGTACACACAAGTGCTTAGAATGCCTACGATTTATACCTGAAAGTTTCTGATAATTGAGAGACAAAAAACTTTAGAAAGAGAAAATGCTTTTTAGAAAATCTGGGGATGTACTTGGTGAAACAGCAAATAGAAAAAAGATATTACTTTCCTAGAACAAAAACTGCAAGATATGTAATTGAAAAAATAAAATCTGCCACAAACATTTTTGAAGATGAAGCTTCAACAACCCAATCACAAGAGAGAGGTAGATGACATTTATGTGAGAAAATGGAGAATAAGAGTGTTTAATTGCATGTTGTAAGTGTAGTTGATATTTTCAGCAAGTATGGACACAATGTAGCCATCAGTGGTTCGTGATTAGCATACTCCCTTTCCACAGCATAGAATTCTTGCTTGGGGCAAAAATTAATTGTGCGCTTTCCTCGCAATTTCCCAGTATCTGTTTCTGTGAGACAATAAGAAAGCTCACTTCTCAGGTTGAGAAGCCCAGAATGCAATGTAGGGATGGCAATTTGCTAACCACACCTACCTCTTAACCGATGGCCACAAGACTGGAATGCTGCTGATAGGTCTTAGCTCGTAAAGAGCTGTTGTGCCGGAGTACATACATACTACATGCAAACAATGTTTCTAGTAAAATCTGTTTTTTTATTGTTTTGGAATAATTTTATTTCGAATTCACTTGTTTGTATCCTGTATATTGTATTTCAGTGACTCTCTTCACAAATGTATTCCTCTAAACTTTCTTTTCTTCTTCTAAGAAATGTGTTTTTGCAGATGCTCTGATATTATTTAAGTTTCTCTTTTTCATTAAACTGTACATTTTCATATTATATACATACATCTTATGCATTAATTAGACCATACATCACTTCCTAGCACCTGTCGGGTCATTTTTGACCCAATCGTCCTAAGTGTGTAGGGAAATTGAATGCAGCAGGGTAAAAAGTGATCTCATTTCATTAATGTGTCTCTCACCTGTTACTTTAGCAGCTGAATTTGATAATCCATGAGTAACATTTTTAAGAAGGGCTGAAACATTCCCTTCAAAGATGAGTCCTGACATTCCTTCTGAAACATCATTCATTAGGCCAAGTGGGTTTCCTAGGAAGTCCACTGATCCCAATATTATAGCTGCTTGCCACATTAGTTCCTACACAACAGTAACATCCATTATGTAGTGAAAATATACATCTTTACATATTTAATGTGAGTTGAACACTAACATTCAATAACATTTGAACACAATTATTTCTGTTTCTGAAACAAATGTATTTCTATATGCCTTTAATAACAGTACTAATAAACTTACATCTTTGAAGTGTTTAATGATGGAATGTAACAAAAATTGACTGCTTTCAAATGGATGTACCCTTAGAAATGGTTTGAGGTCTACTGCTGCATCTTCAAACTTAATGAGCGTAAGGCCCAATTTTTTTTTAATACTTTGCAACTGTGATGGCAATTTGGTAGTAGTAATAACACTCAAGCGCACCTAAAATAAAATATTTTTTCACACAATTTTATTAGAACAGTGACAAAATTTAAATTAATTTACAGATCACACCTCCTACAAAAATTGTTAAATTTGTGATTATAGAATTATTTTAAGCCCAAAATCAAAATGTTTTAAGATGTCAGTTTTAAGCAAGATTCTTATAACTGATTGAGGCTAAAGAATGGTAGTTGAGAAATAAAATTCCTAGGAAAAAAGTTTTTTGCATTCTTGTCACATTTCTGTAGGAGGAGCCACATACGTTAAAATTTACTGTGAAGTTTACAGTTCCAAACATTATATTATTTACTCTGAAAAAGCATTTGGGTTCTTGTTAAAAATAATACTCTCAACTTGATTTATGATATATTAAATAATATTTTTTGAAACAATACCTGGCTAGGTTCAAGGCGTAGATTCCCAAAGTAGTAGCGTGTTGCGTTCACTGAAGCTGCTTCCATAACAATTCGCTGTGTCTCAATATCATTTTCTTCTGGTATTTCTCCAGCTATTTCATTGTTACCATAACCAGCAAAAGCAAACAGCTTCAATAATAAACGCTCTTCAATGTTCACAGACAAGTTCTTCACTTTCATAATTAAATGCTGCAAAAGAAATTTCTACTTAGAAAATCATACCTAAAAGTGAATTTTTAAGAGCATTTTGATAATGTACTAACCTTATAAATTTGTGCATTGAGGCTAGGAGAAGGCAATTTTTCTGCTGATAATTCAAGTGCTGGCATCTGAGCATGGATTTCTTCCTCTCCGCGTTTATTAGATGGACTTACATGGACCACAACAGGACATTGGGCCTCATACAATTGATTATCTACTTGGATATCTTGCACTCGCAATGAGAGAGTATGCTGACCAGCAGCGCGAAGCATTTCCATTTCTATGCCAGCTAAGTGAGCAAATAACAATTCTTCAGCAGGACGCCTTGATACAAGACTCACTCCTACTCCAGCTGGGAGTTTGAGATTAACCTGCAAATAAAAGTACAGAAATTGTTATATAAAAGGGAACTTGAGTCTTAATACAATTACTTCATGTCTCTTGTTATTGCCACATGGGATTTTTTAAGTTGATTATTTCACCTAAAATCTAAATGATAGTGAAAAGGGCTTTTAAGAAATATAAACTTAAACTAATGCTAATTAAAGAATATTGAAACATTTAGAGTTTAGAAAATAAGAAAAATGAGATATAAATTAGTTTATTAAAAAAAAAAGAGGAAATGAAATTATTAATTTACCTCAAGTTCTCCAACTTCAGCTGGTGGAGTATGCAAAGTAATAGGACGAGCAATCATAGGAAGGGGCCATTGCCTGTCTTCTATCACACTTTGAGTTAACTGAAAAAGAGACTTAATTAACATTGAATCAATTATATTTATACTTTGTAACATTGATGGATACCTACAGCTAGAGCAGTTGGCGAAGGTGATCCTTCTTTCAAGTCTGTGATCTGTAGCACTCTGGTAGGGCCATCAGTGAGAACACGCACACTTAAGAAACCAGAACCAGGGCGCAACCTTTGTCGACTCACAGCCTGTTCAAGGGGCACACCAAGCAGTGTCAACTGATGATGTTGGGGTTGAGGTGGCCCAAGAACTGCATCACTCCCTGAAACAACAACAAAATTACTTTGGATTTGTGAGAGAGTCACAAATGGACACAAACAAGAGAATAATTGATCAGCTGATTAATTATTTTTTCTGACAGCCACAAATAATGGACGTGTCAATGGGAAACTCATACTTCAATAATTTTTTATGGAACTGACGCTAATCTACTGTAAAGAAAAAGAAAAGAAAAAAATAATAATAATTGAGCCACTTGTCTAAAATTATACTCTACCATCCACATCTAACAATGGCTTTTTAATTTCACACAACTTCAGAAATGTCCTTTTTCACTAAAACTGTCAGCACCTCACGCTTTAATAAAAACTTTACTATGAACAAGAAGGAGACAAAATTAAAATTTGTGCATTTTGCCTAGTTTAATTCCTTAACTAATTAAATGAAATAATTGATGTATTAATAATTAATTACAAAGGCAATTGTCTACAGTATTTCAAAATTAAATTTGTCACAAGACGAATAAAAAAACAAAATACAAATAATTATTAACATTTAAACTGTCTTCAAAATACTGCTAGTCATTGCTGCCCAGAATAAACCCCTGGCTGGGGAAGGCTTCATTTTAATCTTTATTGACACTAATATCCTGAAAGACACTTAACATGAAAGTTTATTCCATTCAGAGATAGAGGTATCCCATTAGAGAGTATTCCATTGAAATTAAAAATAAATATTAAGTTAAAAACAAATAATGATATAATTTGATTTGCTTTGATTTATTTAGTAAAAAAACAGTAAAAACTGTATGTGACGTAAGGGGGAGAAGATAATCTGCGCACTTTTTCTTGAGTTCAAGAATCACTTTCTATCATTTTCAGTATGAATAGTTGAAAGATGAGTAAATGTTAAAGATAAATAAATAAAAATAAAATTTAAAATAACGCGAGATTAGCAACATTTAAAAAACTAGACATATTCGTTCCCAAGTTACAGAAAACTTATTTGCAATGGTAAACAAACTGCAGAGTTTATTTTCTGCATTACTAACAAAATAGTAACTCGCCCTTACCTCTACTACTATCACTACAAGCAAAAGGAGAGTTCAACAAAAAATGCGCAAAGTGAATCTACATTTACGTACAGAAGCAAAACAAGGGACATCTCAGCATTTGCTCAATGTATCAGGGAAACTGGACAAAAACCTGATCAAGATGGGGATCATTGACCCGGAAGCTGAAATACATTATTTGTTACAAGCATTTTAAGTCTTTAAAAAAAATATACAATACAAATGTAAACTAATTCATTATATATCATTGTTTTGTTAAAATAAACATTATTTTTCTTTTTGATAATCACTATAGTCTCTAATTGTATAGAAACAGTTTTGCAGCAGAAAAGATTTTACTTCTAACTTAAATTTGTGTATCAACTTCAAATGTTTAATGTCATTTGGCAATGCTTTGAAATGTATTATATGTGGATTTCTGGTAGTGAGCTGTTGATACTGACACTTGATGAATGTGATTTCTATGACGGGTGTTGTAATCATAAATATCAGTATTGCATGAAAATATGTTCCCACTATTAAGTAAGTCACTTCTGACAAATATTACAGATTCATAAATAAATAGGCATGGCAATGGTAAGATTCTGAGCTCAATGAAGAGAGGCCTGCAGGGATCACACAGATGGCATTTTTTCATTATTTGAATAATTTTCTTAGCAATCTAAAGGTTTGGGTACTTCATAATGAGCTTCCCCAGAATATTATGCCATATCTCTGGCGGGAATGCACATTTGCAAAATACATGCAACGAGCTGCATAAAGGCTGACCGAATTTGAAAGAATTTTGAACGCGAAACATAATTAACTTAATTTAGGGTTAAATTCTGCTATATGTACATTCCATTTCAGGTTTAACTGAATTGAGAGACCTAGAAATTTTGATAACTTAACATCAGCTAATTGCATATTGTTCATTTTCAATGGAGCATGCGATTGCTGACTTGAAATCTTTAAAAAAAATTACATTTGTGTAATTTTTGAAAAAACAAAACAGTACACCAAAATTAACTTAACACTATATTAGAGTGCAATTACCACGATCCACTTCAAATGTTTGAAAGAAAAATTTGAAGTAGTTTTTGAGATTATGGCGTTTGAGCGTTTCTGAAAATGTGGAGTTTTGAGCTAAGCTATTCACAGAAAACAGTAGAGTTTTCGAGAAACTTTATATGAAATTATTTAAAGCACATGTACTCATAAATACAGTAATGTGAACAAATTGCCGCTATAAGTATTAACAACCTGAGAGGCAAGTCAAAAAAATTACATTTTTAAAGTTTTCAAAAAACAAAAGAATAGAGCAAAATTGCGTTGGTGTCAACTTGTAGAGTACATTTAGCACTATCCCTACCAAATGTTTGAAGAAAAAATTTGGAGCCATTTTTGAGAAAATCTTGTTTTTGTAAATTTTTAAAATTGCACAAAAACTACTAAAAAAAAAAGTACCTGACCTTAATAAAAGAACTCACTGTGGAGAACAATTTTATTTGAAGCAAACATCTCTAACTTCAATTTTGTAGCTGTAGGAAGACAAAAAAATCATACTTTTTAAATCTTCATAAATTCAGAGTTAACCTTGAAAAATCGTACCTATGCCATCATACCTAGACCTTTATAAGTCTATGTTACTCTATTCTTACAAGAAATTTAATGAAAAAATTTGGAGCCGCTTTTTAAAAAGTTTTGAAAATGTTTGGGGGGCTTCAAGTAAAGTACACTCAAATTTTAAAAAATGTTTTTCAAAATCTCAAAGTTTTGTCTCGAGACAGATGTAAAGTGGTTTCTTTAATTTGGAAAAAACCTTACGCATGGTTTAGGCATTAATAGTGTTTACAGACACCAGTCGGGGGAGGGGGGAACAAAATATTTTGTATCAGGGGACCCTAAAACATGTATGGCTGGCAAAATCTTGAAATTGATTTCCTGCAGCATTACTAACTTTTCCCGTACCAAGTTTATATATTCCGTATATATGTACGTATACAGGAAAGTAAAAATCGACTGTTTAAAGTCTCAAACATACAATACTTCGCCACATTCAATTTTGAAACACAGATGTGAAAGGTAAGATGTTACAGTAAAACTCATTCAGATTTGAAAAGCACAATAAACATGCATACTTACCTACTTAGAAATTTGCATTCTAGGTCCATTTTCACAAAATTGTTCAATGACATGGGAGAGAAAAGAGTTAGAAACTAATATTTTTTTTCAATATCAAGAACTCAAATAAAATTAACAGGTTCACATTTATTTATTTGCACATTCCATTACTTACTTTGCTGTAACTATTGTGACAACTTGACTTCGAAGATCATAGTTAAGAGTGAACTGTGAGTTAGTTTAATAAGACCATTTATCACTACAAGAGGTGCAAAAACCACCCACCCACATGCAGACAGGCACCCACACCTACAAATATGCAGGCAAAGATGCATCCTCACATGTCTGTGATCTTGCATTTTCATTTATCTTGTTAAAAGTTAATCTTATTTATACAATGCAAGTTTCCCACTTTTTTGAAATTACGATTCTTACCCCCATCTTCATATTGATCATATCCCCATCTACATTGGCACAAGAGCAGTCAATGAGGTAACAATTGCTTACTTTTCTTCATACTTTATTTTCTTACAAATTAAAAATTGATGAAACGGCTTAAAGGAAGAGAAAAGGTATGTTACTGAATTTTATATTCAACAAAGTACTGATTTGAATGAGAAGGATGTTAATGGGTACAGGACAAATGTACAACAATACTTTTACCAGTAACAACATTTCTTGACATTTTCATGCCCCTTCTAAACAATAACTAATTCTCCAATTTTTTCTAGCTGTTGGTATCCCTGAATAATTAGGTGCCATTACTGTAGAGAAATGATAGTGCTTTTCTCTGCCTTCACTTTTTTGTACAATTTATTCCAAGTACATAATTTGCAGCTGCCTAGAAATCTGTGAATAGGGCTTAAATTATTTAACCACACTCATATTTTTCTCAGACACTAGTGTTTTCATGTAAGGATATTTTATTTTATGGTTGCTGATACAGCAAATAAATACATTCTTTCATGTGTACTTTTATATACTGTGAATATCTAATGTACTAAAATGATGTGATAGTCTCAAAAATACCATACCTACTACATTCAAGGAGAAAAAACCTAAACTTCATGTGCAAAGACAAAAAGATCAAATTAACTATCTACTGCCCCATGCATTTATTGGTATGTCACCCTTCAGATACTGCTACAGAAAACCACTAGGAATAGTTGGGTAGGAAACGCCTGCACAGCACTGAAGCACACTCTTTATAAGGGCGAAGAAAATTTATTTTCTGGAAGGAAACTGTACAAATAAGAAAAGAAATAAATAAAAGATAAAATTCCAAATTGGCCTAATGTTCCAAACTGAGATGCAAAACAAGAAAAGAAATGATACATACACATTTGCCAGGAAGCTACACGCCCTGCTGCCCCTGTAAAACAGTAACATGTAATAAGAAGGTAACTAAGTGCATGCAAAAAGAATCTCGACTTGTTAGGAATACTACTTTGCATCATACTCATTAAATTACAATGATATCACATTAATATCTGATTTTCATCATGCCCACATCATTATGGTTTTAATCAGCTTACAGCTATAAGAAAATTTTAATATACCCAAGTAAATTAAGAAATTAATTGCTACACATGAACTACTACATGCTTCAATGAGATATCTACTGAATTCAGGAATGGGTAAAAAGATGAATATTGTGCCTAGATTCTACTAATCAAAATATTACATTTTTATGAGAGCAATGAGTAAAAGTGAAAATAAAAAAACAAGAACTCTCTTCATGTTTAGTGACATCCTTTTCAAGAAAACACCACAAAAGAAAAATTACTAAACAAACATTTCAAAAATATCAATGTGAATTAAAACTTTAATTCCAGCTGTGCAGACGTGAAAAAGTGTTGGAATAAAAAAATAGGCTTAGGGAAAATTAAGGCTTCTAGACAACTCATTCCCCCAAAATCACAGGAATTCTACATCAAGGAAGGATAATCTCAATATGTTCTAAAATATCAATGCTTTGGTTTTATGTCACATTATTCAATTGAAGATCTTGAATGTAGTTGGTAAAGTGGGTAAATATTTATGCACCAAATTAGTTTGAAGATACAAATATGTATTCATAAAATCTGGCATAATCATCAATTAATAACTGGAATATTTTTTATTACACCATGCACATGTTAGAAATTTCCTACAATAACATCAAAAAATTAATTACACGATCTGAATAGCATGCACCATACCTAAACAATTCAGCACAGTTGAATCTCCACTGGAAATACAGTATGTGTCTTAACTAACTAATATGAAATAAAATTACTAACTCATTTCATACAAAAAGAATTATCTCAAGAAACAGATTTTATTTGAATTTTCTATGCCAAATAACTTTATTTAATGTAGTCCAATGATACAATATATATAGATGGTTGTAATGAAGCACTGCATTTATTAATGCATGTCTGTTGAACACCTGTTTAATATCACCCTGAAATTAACTTATATTTCTTTCAACAACGTTTTATAAATAAATCTGGGCATTGGTATGGCTAGGATTTTCAAAAGAGATCCAAAATAACAATAAACATTATTATGGTTAATATTAATAATAATGAAGCAGCAATGACAAAGTAATTATAATGATACATAACAATTAATACTAAATTTATAAAATGAATAAATAATTTAAAATGGAATACATTAAAATAAACTTTTTTAACCCTCAAACTTATTAATACAAAATTGAAAAAAATATTTTTCAAAATATATTATTCAATTATTTTTCAAAAATTTTTTATTTTATTTTATTAAAATTTTTATAGATAAGAAATCAAATATCTAAGAAGCATATTTAGAATCGAAAAGAGAAATATAATTCCCTGTTTTTGTTCTCTTAAAACTAGGGGTTTCTTATTTTCCTGACTAACGAAAAATGTTCCAATACAATAAGAGATTCTGAATGATTCTGAAGAGCCAAACCCCAAGCATGTAAATGTGGGCCCCAAAACCTTGCATCATACATAATTTTCAACCAATTCCAAATATGTATATGTTGTCGGCGGTGATGGTGTAACGGTTAGCGTACTGGACTGTTGTACCCAAGTTGGCGGGTTCAAACCCGATCGAAAGCCTGTGGATTTTAAGGCGAAAAAATCCTTCATACGCCTTCCTTCGGAGGAAGTAAAGCCGGCTGTCCCATGTTCGTAGATTTACTTGCATGTAAAAGATCCTTCAAGCCTAAATGACGCCTCTGAGCTAAATCAAGTCGCCTGTTTCTCGCCCAAGATACCTCCTTTCTCCGGTAGTTGGTGAAAGGAGCGTAGCGAAATTAGCGTGGTCAGACGGAAGAGCAGGCCTAATGGCCTGAGTCTCGCCACGTTAAATAAGGCATTAATTCAATTCAATTCAAATATGTATGAAGTCAAAGTGCAAAGTTTAGCTCTTCTCTGTAAAGTTCTCTTTCCATTGTCATCTCAAGTATTAAGGTTGTTTAGATGTGAAATCCACAAAAGAAATTAATATGACAACAACAGCAACAAAAAAATAATAATAATAATAATAAAATAATTAATAATATAATAATAATAATAATAATAATAACAACAATCAATAATAATAATAATAACAACAATATAATAATAATAATAATAACAATAATAATAAAGATAATGTTGATTAAATATACCTCACACAATTCTAAATATTGGCTAAAAGTATGATTCATGTATAGGATCTAACCATAATTAATAAATAAATAATATAGAGGTGATTTTTTTCATTTCATTTGTTGGGAACTAATTTTAAGTCAAAAAAACCAAGTCACCTTATCAAAGATAATCACCTTATTTTCAGGTAAATGCAGTAATTTCTGTCAGAATTTCTTACCTCTCCATTCCATCCATAAATTCTTTTCATTTATCACACACACTATTTTACAAATAAACTTCCGAATGATCATTGGAAATGAAAAATAACATACAATTTATGCATTTATAAAATGTTATAAAAAAAATAAGAACATGAATAATCAATTATGCCTTGTAATACTTTACTATTCAAACTCTAGGTAGGACATTTTTGTTTTTTCTTCACAAATATAAAGATACTTTTGTTTTTTGTGTAGTAATAAATAAAATAATTTAGTTTACCTTGATGTAAACCGAAGAAGCCATCCTTGGCTTGGACACACATGTTGTTATGTGCACAACATAATCTACCATCATCAGTAAATCGCCATGTCTGTGTTGAAGTACGCCTACGATCTGGACGTCTCAATTCAAGATTTACATAATGAGATGGTTGTGGAGCTGGACCAGCAATGTCCAAAACCTAATGACAATAAGCATAAATATAATTGGATTAAGTGATGGATTTTAAATTACCATCTAGAAAGAATAAGGATTCATAATTTTATAACCCATCGTCCATAATCATCTAAGGTACAGGGCCTTAGGTTGAGAGTTTCTATTGAGAGTTTACTGTGATCTACTACTAAGTTGCTGTCTCATTTATTTACAATTCAGAAAGCAGTTTTTTAAATATAAAAATCTTTAATTCTTATTGAATATTCTCAAATTCCTTTAGATGATTCTAAATATTGTTAAAAGGCAGAGTATAGACCTACAAGATTCAAATTTAATTTATAGTAAACAATGCAGATAAAATCTATAACATCTCAGCAAAGCTACAACATGAAACAGGCTGATTAGCTCTAACCTCAGTAGTTAATCATTTTGAATCGTTATGATATGTTTTCAGATTTGTAAGACTGTCGCAACTTTTTAAGACTATTTTACAAGACTACTTGCCCAATTTTGTAACTACTATATAAGACTATTTGTTAGATTGTGTAAAACTAATAGCATTCGTGGCAAAGAGCGAAGTCGCTTGCCTTTGAAATCAGGTGGAGCAAAGTACACTTATAAAATTGACATAGTTTCAATTTTAGTTGGACACTGAATTTTGGAAAATAGCTAAAATTACAAATAATAAGAGAAAGTATGTGCTGATCTAGCACCACTAGTTCTATATATTACAGAAATGTTTAACCTCTGAAATGAATGGAAAAGACTTGAAAACAGACCACAAACTCATAACTTTTTTGGCTGGAAATTAATATTTTTAATCTTAGCGCAGTTGCCTTGTTATAAAAAATTCAACACTTCGATACAAATTATATGGCGTCAGAGTTTCACAACTTGTGAAAGTGAAAGCGAGTTGGAGAGCAGTACTTGTAGACAATTCTAGAAAGTTCACTGCCTAACTGCTGGTGTACATACATTGAATGTCTATATATTTTAAAACTATAATACAATGACTGAAAATGATTATATATATAATTGCAATTTAATGAAGAAGTAGTGGCTTGCAGTAACAAAAATGTGGGTCAAGATCTCACAAAATGGTTTTCCAGAAAGTAGCATGCACACTACTGAAGAACAGCAAATAAAACACCCTCTAAAAAACTGCAATAAATTAAATCCTCACTATCATCGTCATCATGATGAACTGCAGGATGTTAGGCCTATTGCCTTTTCCTGATTACTCAGTAGACCTGGTGGTTTATACCTCCAGATGTTCCTGTTGTATCCAATTTCTCTATGGTCTTCTAACATCTCTTTGGTCCTTAGGTTTGTATTTTAATGCTAGAATTGGGAGTCTTTCATTCTTCATTCTCTTTTTATGTTCTAACCTTTCATTTTGATTTTCTTTTATATCTTCCATAATATCCTTTGCCCTAAGATTTTTTCTCACATCAATATTCCTTTAGCGATTCAATAAATTAAATAAACTAAATATTTCAATAAAACAGTCTTCATGAATATTGCAATAACTTAGTATAGTACACACACAGTACAATGGTTTACACACCAAGAATAACAAAAATGTTGTTCCACAAGCTATCAAGTGAATAGCAAATACTTTATGGCGAGCAGCCTCTTCTTTGAAGCCTTGCTGTCTCAGGATACGAGTCATAAGCAGTGACGCATCGAATATGAGAATTTAGTCAGTAGTTCTTACACACAGTACAAGAATAGAAGGAATAACATAATCAAATATTTTTATTCAGATATTTTGCAGCCAAAATTGAAATTATTGTTGAATTTTTCCCAAGATCCTAAGTATCTAATGGATCTAAAGACATTTCTCACAAGGCCAGAAGCTGCATCATTTGGTTTCAATTTCTGGACACATTGGAAGTTAGTAATGCAGATAATATAGTCTATGTAGTTGCTCACATCAACATCTACAGAAGGGGTTGGTTAGAAATCGGGATTAAAAGCACAATGGAAAATCAGGTGCAATGCACAGGGTATTAGACAGGCAAAAAAATTAATTAAACAAGTGATTAGTTTAATTGTCTTTCAAAACTGAAATCAAGGAAGAGACAATATTCTGATTTACTACGCTTTAAATTAGTTAAACGAAGTTCAAACCCTGAAGAAGAAAATTACAGCAATACAACTCACCAAAGAATAATCAGAATGAGTAGGAATTCTTGCACGTGGATCCCGAGGAGGGCTACTACCTTCGTGTTGTAAATGACCATCTCCAGTCATGCGCCACAGCTGAGAACGTTTTCCTTGCTCTTTGCGAGCCAATACCACACGTGTGCTACCATGTGGTACCTCTAAGACGAGTTGTTGACTCTGAACATCCAAAGGGTCCATTCTTGCAGTGTCACACGAGCCATTACCTCTGCAATTATACGTAAAAGCGATTAATAGAGAATAGTATGTACGTGTGTGTGTGTGTGTGTGTATAAATTATATTTATATAAATAAAATTAATAAAATAAGGGACCATAACTATAACCTAATACATTAATAACAGTTGTGTAAGGAATATTAAATAGATCATAGCTCTTTTATTACTGCATCATGGAGACACTGTGCTGTTTGCAATTATAGCCAGACTGTCGATAATTGGGTGGCTTATTAAAACTTTCAACTCTTCAATGTAAATATAGAAATTAACACTTACTTGCCAAAAGTACCAGTCAATGCTATGTAAATGAAATTCTCATAAGTGAGGCCTCGCCCTTCTCCCATTTGCTTTAGATCATATTCTGCAGCTGCTCCTCCAGGGGCATGCAGAGTGATTAGGGCAGGCTGAGTAGGTTCATCCAAAGAATATGGTACAGATGAATATGGACGTACAGTTGTCTGAAGGCTTTCTGTAGTTACACAACTCTGCAAAAGTTGTAATTAGTTCTGTTATATCTCCGTAAGTAAAAAATTTGCATTGTTTAAACATGAAATGCACAAATAAATAAACAAGAGAAAACATTACTTGATGGAATGTGAGAGGTACAGCAGCAAGATTGTCAATACGTAAGGGTGATGGCATTGTGTCAGCATCAGTAAAAACTATGAAGTACATAGCTTCCTGCAGAACCACTTCAACATGAAGGAAATACATCTGGCCCATGTTGTCTCTGAATAACATTAATGCAACATTTTATTTTCAGTTTACCCTACAACACTACTGGTTACACAAAGTATTTACATAACCCAATGAACACAATTACGTACAAAAACTCTCGCAAGCGAAAATATTACATTCAATACAAATACAATGAAAGAGGAAATATCTAAAAGGTATAGACCTAACAAATATTTAAAAGAACAAAGATTATGTAGTATTTATTTAGGAGGTATTGATAAGATCTTTAACTAGGCTCTTTCTGTCAAAAGAACCAAAATGAGTAATTATTAGGTACATTATTTTGTCAAAACTTTTTCCAACTTTGAGAACTAAGTGTGACTAATTTTACATTGAAAATTTTGAAAGTAAATAGACATTACAAGTACTTTAAGTATGAAAATGTCAAGTATTTTTCAGGATAAAGTACTTATTTTTGATGAAGTACTTTTTTTTATGTCTATCCTGGAACTTGAGATTTCCTTGCTAGACAATTCTTTACACCTTTTTACATATATATATATTTAATATATATATAAATAATATATAATATATATAATATATATTATATATATATATATAATACTATTTATATATATTTATATTTATATATATTCCCCAGACAAGCAAAAGTAATTTCCCACCATTTACATTTTCCTGTGATTAATATGGTTTAGTTTTTGCTCTCTTGAAAAGTGTAAAAGAGGGGTGTCTATTAAATATGGATATATTTAAGGAGTTCATGTTCTTAGTTAACTTACATAAAAAATGTAGTAAAACTTTGTGAATTAAGAAGCGGAAAAGGAAGAAATAACTAGTAAATGGATCTCAAAATGTCTTGAGTATGGTTCCAACAACTCAACAGTGACAACTTAACATTTGAAGATGATTCTTCCAACTTATTGAATCATGTTGGAAATACGGATGAAACAAAAATGTATTATTAGAATTAGTCAGCATCGCTAGCTGAATTCGTTTACTACACTCCAAGAAGTCATGAAGGTTAAACAAATCCGAGACTTTGCAGGTTCCTGGTTGGGGAACCACTTAGAAATTCCAGGGTGTAACAACACAGAGCCCCTGCAATTTTTGTTTTCAGACCAAGGTAGTCTCTGTTTCAATCATCTCAGATAATCACAAGTGTACTGTATTTTTGTAGCTCAAAAAACTTTTAAAAAGGGAAGAAATTTCTGCTGAATGAAGCGGAGATAAATACAGAAGAGGAGGGGTTTGTAGAGCAATAACATTAAAAAGAACTTTTTTAGATTGCTTAGACACAATTTACAAACACTGTGCTAAATTAATTCTAAGGGAATATGTAGAGGACATAAAATTTTGTTTTGAAGTACACTAAAGTTTTTTGCAAGTTTAAGTGATAAAGCTACATACTTATCTACTTAATCTGACACCAGTTGAATTTGAATTTTTGTATCCAAACATCATGAACAAAATAATAATTTTAAAAAATTTACCTTATGTTAATATGCATTGAAGAATTTGATTCAATAAGAAAACCACCAGACCACAGACAGTTCTGCACATCCAATAAACGTACACACAAAAGTTGGTCTTTGTCCAGACGTGGCCAATGAAAAGCCAGGCAACAGTCAGGGACAGCTGTGAGGTATGTGGCTTTTGCTCCAGGATCATTCTACCAATATATAAATATTTATTAGACAATGAATAATATAACACACTCCATTTCATTGTAAATTCAATACAAACCAATGTAGTAGCAAAACAGCGTTGAGCAAACTGTAACATGAAACTTGAACGATTGTGCAGTTGAAAGCGAGGAGTAAGTGTCACTACACTGGTATGTCGATATCTGCCACGACCTGCCCTCACACTGATGCCAATCAAATAAACAAGGTCTGGGCGCCCATCTCTGAGAGCAACACGAAGTCTTCGCACCTATTCACAGAATAAAGTTTATTTAATGTTTTAAAACTTACATTGAGAAGCAAACAGAAGCAGTGGAAAGTCTACAAGAATATTGCAATTCAGTATTTCACATGAATGCAGACACAATGTGTTGTATGTTACACATTCTACACATTTCTCTAGTCACTCACCTGAACACCATTGTGCAAGAAGAAATTCTGGCACCACTGTGGCATTCCATCAGGGTGCACACCATTGCCAACTCGTGTCATTACTGATGGGCTAGCCTCATGATCCGCAAAAGAAAATAATAAAGGGGCTACCATGCGAGCAACCTGAGAGAAATAAAAGAGAAACTAAAATGTTTGAAAACCTTCTAGTTCTAATTTAATATGTAAATGGTTTGAATTTATTCTGTTAGTGTAATTGTTAATTTGTCATTTGCGTATAATCTCAACTCCTACAAACAACAACAATAACTTCAACTTGACTTTACAAGATCCTTTATGTTTAACATGAAACATTATAACTAAAAGAAAAATATTAGAAGGAAAGTGCTTTTAGTTCTCTGCAATGATAGCTTATTTCAAACATTAGGATCTCTTGTATCAGACAACATTATAACTTATAAGTATCAACAGAGAAGTGAGGGAAGAGATAAAAGAAGATTTGGGAAACAAAAATCTGAGACACCAGCTTATAAAAAATTATTTGACAGTAGTTCTTACTTCATGTTCCTCGCCCTGCCCTGCAGTATCATTAGGAACACCTTCCTGTCGAAATACTAATGGGAGGCTGGTTTTATTGATAATCCAGAATGGAGCTGAGATACAAATAGAAAGTCCACCTCCACGACGGGCAAAGACAGCGGCTTGGAGAAGCAGTCTACGGCTTTGAGGGTCCTGAAGTCTAATTCGTGTTTTCAAATGACCTGCACTAGGAGGTACCACCAAAGTACCTGGACCAGGGTAATTTTCCAGCCAAAACATCAATTCCAATGATTTTTCAAGATCCACCTGACACAGAAAATGTTTTAAAAAACTAGAATTTTTTTTTGGTACACAATCATCATTCTGATTAATATACATTAACATCAACTAAGCTGAAAAAAATCTGAAATTATACCTTGAATGTGAAAAAACATTGCTAACAAACCTGCTGTAAAGTGACAGAATTTCCAGGTCTTATCCTATCTTCAGTAACAGAATCCTTTAGACTGAAATGCAATTCATGTGGAAGCAGGTTTGTAACAGTGACTGGACTTAAAAGGGTGATTGAATGAGCAGGCTGCACCCAAATATTGTGAGTAGCAACACCTGGAATTCTCTCAGTTGGATAATTCTCTCGCCGAATTGCAACACAAAACCTTTAAATCCATATAAAAATTATACACGAGTGAAAAGATCAACATACAGTTTCAGTACTCTTTGTTAAAATACAAATAAAAATTAATAAACATTACGGCAAAAGTAAAGTGAAAGTCAATTTTGTTCTATTAACACTGATGCAACAATGGAAGAGAAGTCTTACCTGTAGCAGTGATCCCTGTTACTATGACACAAACGTGTTTCTTCAGCAAGATCTCCAGGTTTAGTTACTTGAGCCCAATCTAACGGTTTACTACAGAACTGATACCACTGCCCTCCGGGATGGGTGCGATCAAGTGGGCGCACCCAAAGAAGGGCGTGAACGTGAGTCAGAGGAACAGGGAGAACCTCTCCAGATGCAACATGCATAGTTTTTATAGTCGGACCTGCACATTCAAAATATCTCTTAAAATAAATTTAACTTTAAAAATTAAAATGTAGGAAAGATGTCAACAGGATCCTACTGGTCTGAAAATTTCAGACTTATGGAAATAAGAATTTTTGTCCACACTGTAATCTGAATCCATTTACAAAAAGAAAACAATACTTGCCTTTAGTATGGATACTGGGATTTTCCAACTTTACTTCTACTGATTCTTGCAAACGATTACACAACATGAGAGCTGAGCGAACAGTAACAAGTTTTTTAGCCGAACCATCCAATGTAACTTCAAAGACGAGACGAGCTTGAGGCAGATCTATATACTATAAAAATAAAATGTTCGTATTAGTGATAATTACTCTAAATGGACATCTATTGATACTATCCTCAACACCCTCAGTACCTATTTATGTTATACATTAATATAATTTTTTAAAATTTTATTTACATTTGGTAAAGTACTGTGAATAAGATAACTACTATAAATTAAACATGTTAAGAGGTTATGCAAGACACTTATGGTGGAATAGAAGGCATTTCAAAAGAACTGATAGTTACTTACGGAATGATAATTTTCAGGACGTGCTTGCCTGAAATACACTCCTACTTTGTCAACGGAAACTGGAGTCACTGGGTTCCACCCTTCAACTTTAACAGCTAGTTGATGGATATTTTGTTTGTGAGTGTTTCGATGACGCACCTTTCCTGAATTTCATTCAAAGTATTCAATAATGATAACATGAAAGTAAGGATACGAGAAAGAAGACACTATTAAAGGAGAAAAATAATCAACATTACATTTCTGTTAAAAGTACTCACCACGACCTTCAAAAGTAAAAGGAACAACTGCATCAACATCTACAAACACCCACGTTTCATCAACTTCCAGAACAGCAGATAGGCCTCCAGAGAGACTACAAAAGTAATAAATCATAACTATTATTTAGCTTCTAAAATTCAATTATGTTCATTAAAAATACCAAATTACATATGGGAACTAATATAAAAAATAACTATTGAAATAATACATACGTATCAACAGTTGTAATGTGTGTAGTAAACCAGAGAGGAGAGCCAGTGTTATTGCGAACAGCATATGGGACAAAAGGTAAGCGCCGCCTGTAACCTGGAGGGCTACCCATATGTTTCACTGGACCTACTTCACATCTACAACAGGAATGTGTGATCCTTTAAATTCATATGGTCAACCAATTACATTACACAAGTACTGTAATTTAAAAAGACAGAAGACTTTTTTTAACAAGAATGTCAGGCAAACAGCTTACCTGTCTCGAGAAGTGACACTATTATAATCCTGTAACCAGTTATCTTTTACAATCCTATACAGATCAACAAATGTGCTTGTAACATTAACATTCAAAAGATCTTCTGAAGCAACACTTATCTGCAATTTGTTTTTCTGAGAAATTGGACTAGTTGGAGGCAAGTGTTCCCAAATCACCTCACATCTGTAATTAAGATTTAAAGTTATCAAAAATAATTACAGGTAACCTAATTTTATAATATAAATTAAAAATTTGTTTTTGATGTAGCTTCAATGATTTCATCAGTAATCAGGTTCTCTCGATGTTATAGAGGGAAATAAATGCCTCTCAGGCCAATAGCTCACCCCCATGGTTCGATAAAGGGCTCCCAGCCTGACAGTGTTCGGTTGAAGTAGTCACAAGACAGTTGACATGTCGCAGTTCCCTGTCCTCCCACACATTGTTGTACTTGCAGGCGTGCCAGTAACAATTCCAGTAGAGGGACATCAGCATCTCGGCAATCATCAATTACTACTACTCGCACACATGCCATGTCCACCTAACACAACAAACTCACACGTGACAAACAACCTGCATGATCTGATTCAACTGAGATAAGACAAAAGCTGATATATCACAGAAACTTATGAATCAATTAAAGGACAAGCCAACAATAAAAAAATTGTTGTAACATTTTTCTTTGTTGAAACAACAAAAGAAAAGTTTTTGTTTGTATTGTTTTCATTTACCTAATATTTATTTTTATTATTTTTTCCAATTATTAACATGAAATGACTCACTGATATAGACTCAAAAGACAATGGGGAATCTCCAGGAGAAACAACTGCTTGACGTGTAGAAGTATCCACTGGTACTGCATTTTGAGTTAGCCATAAAGCTGCATCGTCCAAACCATTACATTGATTTAGAGCTGCTACACAATCATCAGGATAGAACCCCAATGCAACAAGCTTATTTACTTGACCTGTTTAAAATACCAAATTGATTTGAAAAATACAATTTAATAATACATTTTTGCTCTGAAGAATTGTGCCAATATAAATTAATGTGAATATAAATGAAAAACTTGGAACTTCATTAAGAAATTCTCTGATAAGCATTTATAGAAAAAAGTTTAACATATTCAAATGAAGTTTTTATCCTTCAACAACCATAACTCTGGTAATGAACACAGGTAATGATTGAAGTTTAAAGATTCTATTTCATCATGAGTATTTCTATTCTTATCATAAAATGGGGTATGTTTTACTGTTGGAAAATGGGAGGAGTCATTTTGAGTATTCTATGTTTACTTCCTTTCATATTTAAGTTTGTTATTAGGATAAGGTATTGAACATTTTTGTTTTCATCTTCAATCTTTCATACTTTATGCACTTTTTATGAGAATTCTGTTTTTTTAACTAAGAAATCAATTTATTTTCTATAAGAAACTTAGTGATTAAAATTATTTCCCATCAAAATTTCATTTCTTTTTGTATTAGTATTAAAGTAAAAGCAACCATGATGAAATCAATAGAGCAAAAATAGTACTTCCTTTTTTTCTCAGAACTTCCAACAATTAGTATCTTCACAATTTAAAATAGAAATTGGCAATGTTTCAAAGAGAATGTATTGCAAAAAGCATAAAGCACATACTTCTAATATTGGCAGGCTGTAAATCCTGTTCCACACTTTGGCTCCTGGCCCATAAAGTTTGATTAGGCAAACTGCGCAAAATCCGAGTGAACATGCACATGTCATGATATGACAAGCGTACGGTGAGATCCTTTGAATGAACCTATACAAACATATTAAAATGAATTTAGAGGTAAATTCACAAGCATAAAGTACATAAAAAATATTTAAGAATTACAAACCTCCAATACTCTATCTGCAGCACTTGTCATAACATCAGCAATACCACGAGAAGTAGAAGGACGACGAGCTACTTCAATACAGATCTGAGCAGGATCTACAATTGACAGGGCAGTCTCATCTTCCATTCCAAGTATGCATGAGAATAGCTCACAGTGATTCAAATCACATGAAAGAGGTTTGTCAGGTAACTGTGGTCTGTACATTATTACAGAATTGCTCTAAAACATAAGAAAAACCCAAACGAACTCAAAATTCTGTACAATAAATCAACTTTCTAGAAAAAATAATCTATCTTCAATAATCTTACTTAATTATTCCTGCAATTAGAAATATGCATTATTTTTAGTATGATTAAACTACTGTAATACACCATGTTTAAAAACTACTGTACCAATGGATTTATACAGAAACACAAAATAATGGTTGGTGCAAAAACCACAAAAACAATTTCAGTAACAAAAAGGTATAAAATATCTCATAGGATATCAAAATTCACAGCTTTTCTTCATTTTCACAAAAAATATTCACCTTGAGAATGACAGCATTTGTATCCCATTGTGATGTGTCTTCTACCAGTACTACTTCAGAACTTGTAATATTCAACTTCAGCTCAAAAGCAGCCTTCTCCACATCCACCACAGGGGGACATTTTGTTACTATACCAACAGTTGACACCAGAGCAAGTGATTTTGGTGTAACAGAAGGTGGAGACATCCGGGGAGTAGGTTCGCTGGCTAGTATCAGAAAGTTCATTTTGAAAACCAAGAGTTATTGATAATTTAAAACAATTACCAATCACAATGAGCCACACATAAGACAAAAACTTCAATGAACTTCCCTTTAAACAATAACTTATATGGCAAATAATCAAAACATAGAAGTTTCAGGGCAATTTTTTAAACTTACATAACTCACGCATTTTGACTAAATTTACATTATTCCTTTTGAAATGAAATGTGTGTTCAATAAATTAAAATTAAGGACATAAAATGAAATTTGAAAGTAAATAAAAAAATACAAGCTTGGAATAGCTGTTAACTTACTAAGTTCAGCATTATCACTATTATCCATGATGAAGTTCCGAACAGCTTCCCACCAATCCAATATTACCATTAGCCGCATGTCTTTCAGTAACACAGCAAATTTAGAAAAACCTTGATTGCGCCTACGTAAAAAATAATCATTAATTATTAAATCACTAAAAATCAAACGATAAAATTAATTAAAAGTCCTACCCAAATGAAGGGGTCATGGCAAGATAGCAATATTAATCATTTGTTTATTTTTTGAAAACCAAAGGTAAAAAACAAGTTTTTGTGAATCCAGGCATGTCTCAATTTGGTGTATGTTACTGCTGAAGTCTTAAATACGGGTAATCAGAAATTAGAAATAGTCTGTTAATTTCCATTAGCCATACAATTGGATAAAGATGTATGAACTGATCCTTTCTCACAACTCAGCATCTGGCTAATGATGGCATTAATCAGGCTAGTGCTGGTAAAAGTAAGTTGGCTGTCCGAATGTAAAGTATCTTGTATGTTGGCAAAAAGGGTTTTAGCATAAAAATGCATTAGAAATTATGCACGTTTGTTTAAATGTAAATTGCAAAGGATGAAGGATGGAGGATGAGCCAACTTATGAATGCTCAGTGAAACTTCAACTGAGGTATATAGTGAGATTGGGTTAAGTTAGGTTAGGTTAGATAGATTAGGTTAGGTAGTATCGTGTAAATAAAAACTTATGACTTAACACAGTGAAAAACAAAACTATTCACCATGTCTTTCTCTAGTGTTAGCAGTCTGATACTTGTTTATCATGTCCTATCTCCTTTTCCTTGTCCCTATATCATACTTCACCTACACTTACCATTTTGCATTGGCTAGTGTTCATTTTTTCAGTTTTTTCCAGTAAGTCTGAAGTAAATTACTACTTTGGACTTAATCCATCCATTTTGGATAATGTGAACATTAACTGGCAAATTTAAGAATTAACCATAACAAATACACTAGCAGTTTTCCGTACACTTACTGCAGTTCTATTAACATCTTTGTTCAATATTTGTATCATAATATGCATGAGTTGCGGAAATTTTAAGATGTTAACTTTGGATATGTGAAATGAGGGTTATCTTTATAATGACCTGACCCCTTTGACAAAAAGCAAAGTTTTTTTAATGTTTCATAACATAAACTCATTTACTTTTGAAACAATTTTTACAACAGATAATATGGATTTTATAAACTATGAAAATATTATTCTTTAAAACACACCACCTGTGATGTATTTCTGCCTGTACATCATCCTTCTTAGCAGCCATATTTATTGGTTGTAGAATATTAGTAAATACATTTGATCGTTTATTGGCAGGTTCAGCTAAAACAAAGTCAAAACCAAAATTGACAATAGACATGTACACTCCAACAAGGCTAGGTATCTTTTGAACATTCCTATTCTTACCTTGAAAACGTGTGTCTGTTACAAGTATTTCTCGAGATTCTAAGTCTATATCTCTTGAGCCATCACTGAAAGTTTCTATTACAAGACGAGATTTGATGAAATTTACTCCTGCCAATGAAGACTCTGGTGTTTCACTATTTCCATGACACAATTGCAATTTCACAGTTACATCTTCCAAATCAAGATAAATGGAAGTCAGTGGCCACACTGGTTCATTAGCGGTAACCTAACAGAAATACAAATTAAATCACACACAATACATTAGCAAGAAAGGTAATTCTACATAAAAGTAAAACCTAGTGGTGGTCCAACAGCACATACTTTTTCCCATTATTGAATTGAATTGAATTGAATATGCCTTATTTTACGTGGCGAAACTCGGGCCATCAGGCCCGCTCTTCCGTCTGACCACGCAAATTACGCTCCTTCCATATCGCAGAGAAGAAGGTATTTCTTGGGCAAGAAACTAGGTCGATTTGAATTTAGCTCAGAGGCGTCATCTTAGGGACTTTGAGGATCTTTACATGCAAGTACATCGATCGGGTTTGGACCCGCCACGTGGGTACAACAGTCAAGCATAGACCGATACACGCATCGCCACTTAACAGCTGTTTATTGATAGTTATATTACATGTCTATATCACACTCTATCCATAAACAAACTAAAGGTGCTGTAGAAAGGCACAGACTTTTTGGTAATAGTGATTTTTTCAACTTCTTTGGTCTGGGGTAGCTGCTCAGTTTTGACCTACTCTCTTCTCAGCTGCCATTTATTGCTACCTAAAGTACTTTTTTTTATTTTCTCAATTTCCTGGTCTCCTAATAGTAGAAATGAAATATGACTAAGAGAATAGAAGAGTAAAACCTGGATCTACATGGAAATTTTCTTTGAAAAAGAGATGTTTTGGGAATGTAGTTTGAGCATTTCAGAAAATGCCCAACAAATGCCAAAACTTTGACAATTGTTGAAATTTTAGAGTTAGCCCCAAACATCAGACCTATGCCATCTTTATAAGTCTATTTCACTCTGTTCTTACAAGAAATCTAAAAGGAAAAAAATGGATCCATTTTTGAGAAAATTTTTAAAATGTCCTCAGGACCTCATACAAGAACCCCCAAAATTTAAAGAATGTTTTTCAAAATCCAAGAGCTGTAAGTTGGGCCAGATCGACCATTGGACACAGACACACACGCACACAAAATTGGTATCAGAGGATTCCAAAAGGTGTCTGTACGATACTACACTATACTATACTAATATGTATATTACTCTGTATAAACATATGTATATCAGAATTTAAAAAAATCACCAACAACTTCATGAGAAATCAGTAAGCGGGCCCTACAAATTGTTTTTTTCTGTCAATATATTGACAATTTTCTATAGCATTAAGTACATCTTCTCTATATGATGGGCATAAGAATATTAAAATGTTTAATTGGCATTATGTTATAGAAATAAATGAAGTGACAAATTACATTGTTTTAGATAACAGAAAAAGTTATTAACATATAATAATACATACTAACTTTATGATAATCACTATTTTTGAAAACATACAAAATATGCCTTCACACTGTAAGTTCTACCAAAAAGGAACAGTGAGACAAATGAAATGACTCAACACTCACTTGAGGATGACTACTTGATGAAGACCGTGAACTGAGATCTGCATCTAGGTCAGGGGTTACTTCTCCCAAATTGTAGGAGAGCAGTCCTCGTATTAACTTGTACTGAGAGAGATCTAGAGCACCATGTAGGGCAGACAGCTTCCCATTTACGAAAAGGTCAGGTACTAGAGTTCAAATAATAAGAAAACAATTAATTAAGATGTACCAAGAATGGAAAGATATTGTATGAAACAAAAATTAACTTTGTATTTTACAAGTACCTTGATGGGTTGTTAGTGATTCTAAGTTTCGTTCAACTTGTAATCTTAGGTGGCACTTCTCTTTCAGCAGAGGTGCCCCTTTCCTCTTCACTATGAAAGTAGAAAAATTTAATGCATTCTTCTCTGGTGAATTCAAAGGGGAAGTATTTTGAGGTTGTCTTATTCCTGAGTAAAGATCCATATTGTCCAGATCTATTTGCATTACATCCACTAAGCAAGGAGCTAAAAACAAAAAAAGAAAAATAAATGGAGTAACATCACTTCAACAAAGTCTTATTATTTTCCACAATGTTGAATATTTCTCTCTCTTCCCCTCTCAAATCTCTCACGTTTTCACCTTTTTTAAAGAAATAATATTTTCATTTCAAAAACTGGTGTTAACATTTGAGGTTTGCTTGTTCCTTACTTTTGTTGACAGCCAAATAAAATTGAAACACAGTTTAATTTTTCATGTTGCCCATTTATGTAGGTTTCGCTTTTTCTTGTTAAACACAATGGAATTGTGCAACATGTATAATTAATAATTAATGACGGGGCAGTCTTTAGAAATTAAAGTGGTATTAACACTTTATACTTTGTTTAATTTATAGCTGCACTTGGCAGGTCATCAGCTGTTACAGTGTCATCTAATTGGGTGACTATGGTGACTTTCAACCTCCCGATTGGATGACACCACAACTGATTTACGTTAGGGGTAGTTATGTTTAAAACCAAGTAATACACAGGATATCTTCTTGAGAAATCACATTCCTTTCATCTCTATTCTCAAGTCTCTGTCCCTAGTCATCAAGGAAATTTCCTCCCTGCAGCGGGATGATGTCTGGACAGAGACAGCTGCCACAGAGGCACAGCCAACTCAATCCCTGCTCATGCGTATGTATATATTGTCTCTCTCTCTCTAAAAAAAAAGAGAGAGAGAGAGGGTTAATTCAAAATTTTATTCCTTTTCCTTACGTGGGGGTTCATTAGGAGAGTAGGAATCCTTCTGAGCACTAGTATCCACTCTTCCTGACTGTCGTCGTTTATGTCCGAAAGTGCCTTCAGCATTTGACATTTTGAAGCAATTGCTAATTGACAACTTTCCCAAATCTGCAATAAGTACATCAGTGGAGCGAGAACTTAAAGGCAATAATATGACAGGTGACCCTGCATGCAGTTCCAAAAGCATTCGAGAAGATCTTTTTTGGTGTTCTTGGACCTGCACAAAAATATTTTATTTAAAGACAAATTATGATCAAGTCACCTTTTAAAGTAATACATTCAAATGCTCAATTCAGATATAAAAAAAAGAAACAACACTGGACTGCCCTATACAATTTTATTACATTTAAGAAAATGTATACGTAATCCCACCTTTGATCCTGAGGCTGCAGCACGAATACTAGCAACAACACTTTGTAATTGGGAGAATCGATAAAAAAAGGCTTGAAGCTCAGCAACAAATCTCCGGGTATGAACATAAATCACAGATGACATCTCTAATGAAAGCCTTGAATCACACTCTCTTTGTAATGTGGGATCATCCTTGAGATACCTAAAGTAAAACAATCAAGAAAACAAAATTGTAACTCAAATTACATAACATACAAAAATATCCAAAAACTCTTTTTTCTTTTCTTCACCTGATCATGTGAAAGTTGAGAGCTTCACTTCCAGAAGTGACAAATCGTTCACAATACAGTTGACCATGTGGAGAGAGATCCAATAAAGACATACTGCCTATACGACCCTCAATTATTGTTTCACAGCTATTGGATCGAACACTTGTAGTTAAATTTGAAATGTTAGCTCGAGCAACTTCATAATTCAGACGATTCAAAACTAATGTAAAGGATCGCACATCAATATACACCTCGGAACGAATTAATTTATGTACTTCTGAAAAGCAATACATCCCAAAGTTATAAAGTAATTTTTAATTGTTTTTTTAAAATTTTTATTTTGAGTTTCTAAGATTTGAAATGCTCTGCTACCTTGATTAGAAGCTTGGGTGTCAGCTGAAGATGGTTGGGGTGCATCTGTCTTGTCTTCTGAAGGTTGGCTTTGGGAGGAACCAACCCCAAAGAAATCCAAAACCACTGCCCAAGACTCCATATTAACAATTATATCCAAAGAATTAAAGTCAATTGTTACATTTCTTCGAACCTAAAGAAGATATTAATGAAAGTATGTTATTACATTCACTTGAATTCTTCATCTAATATAACAAGTTTATTATAGTAATGAAATAAAAATTAAATTTAATTAATTTAATTATTCACTTTGAGCATAAAATGTGATACTTTTTTAAATGTACTTTCCAACTGTACTTTCAGAGTTAAGGCATTCATTCCTTAATATAAGAATTTACATTCAAAAGAACAACAAAAAATACAAAATTAATTGAAAAAACAAAATTAATAATAAAATGACTTCTCATTTATTACTGAAACATCTATCCAATTAACTACTGAGAAGTTAATTGCCATGCAATTATGAAAACATACATACTGTGTTGGTTGTGGGATCCATCATGATTAGAACATTGATGTGCACTAAATTGTCATGTCTGTGCATTCCAACAGGAGATCCACCAACACGTGGTGAAGGGGGAGGAGTGCAAGGGTAGGCCACTGACTTCACACGTTGTGATGGTCGAGCTGCCAACAGAAGGTGATAGTACCAATGATCACAATGGTGTATAACCAATACTTTTTGTCACAGGAAATGGTGTTTTCTTTACATTCAAATCTCACCTGCACTTGTTTTGTTCGTCGACGTAAATGCTTTGAAAGCAGGATCTGCCTCCAGACGGTCAGGCAGAGAGGCTCGGATGTCAAAGACTGGAATGTGACTAGCAAGGTTTGGACACGACTTGGAAACAAATAAGGCACGCTTGCTTGCTGCATCCAATTCCGGTTCAGAAACAGCAGTAGATACTACAATACATCGATGTTTTGATTCTGGATCAAATGACAGATCTTCCATCAGCAATGAACGAAGAGACATCTGAAAAACTCTAGCCTTTTAGTATTGTTGAACTTACATGAACTTGCTCAGAACATGCACCATGCTCAGATAAAAATATTTTTAAGCAATCTATATAAAACTACCATAAACTACACAAAGATATAAAATTTCATTTAAAGTACTGCTTTTTTTTGTTTTAATGTGTCAGAAATCAGAAAATGAGAGATGGCCTAAGGACTACACTATGAAAAGTAAAACTCTGAAAAGCCCCAAACGTGCAAGCTAAAACTTGAAGGGGGAGAAGAAGAAAAAAAAAAAAAGTGTCAACAAGGTTTTAATAGCTGAGGCAAAACAGTGAATTATTGATACATTACAATTTTTTTAATTTGGACAGAGATTACTATCTATAATTACCGCAGTGCCTCTATAGCTAAACAATAATACTTCCTAAAATACATCTAGCATTATGTTTTAATTCTATTACTACTGTCTAGATGTTTAGGATTTAAAAATGTTAGAAACATGCAAGTAATTATGACCAAAATATGAAAATATGACATAAAAAATTATTGGTTAAATTTTTGAAACCTTCAAAATCTTTCCACTGTTCAAATAAACATTATATTGAAAATATACTTTTACAATCTAGCACATTCACAATTTACACATTCTCATTTGGCACTCTGTGAAGACAATTCTACTTGCTAAAGTTATTAAATAAATTTTATAGCATCGGTTCGCACAAAACCTAAGAAAACTAAACTAACTCTTCTTTTGTATTTGGTGCTTTCTTTTTCTCCATCTATATAACTTATCCTCCTAATTCACTACATGTATATTTATAGGAAAGGCAGATCATTATATATAAAAAAAAAAAATGTAAGAAATTAGATAACAATGAAGGAGAAATGAAAAATCACTTTGAGAAGACTGCAAGCATGTAAAAATAGAATAAAAAAGATAAAAGTATGACAAAAAAATAAACAAAAATTCATTGACAAATATGATTATAATATGAAAAATTAATGGAAAATAACCAAAGGGTTTAAAAAAAAATTTTGTCATTGTATATAAAATCATGCTTATCTTAGATTTTCCATGAAAATAACGCAAAGAAAAAAACAATGACATGTCATAAACACCTGGGCCCTAGCTATTACATAAATAATTTGTTATTATTATTCACAAATTCTAGTTGTCCACTCATATGATTTTAATCACATTTGGAGCACATTTCAAAACACAATCAAAAATATTATCTCTCTCACCTGTATGTTTGTTTCTTCTTCATCACACTTTTCATATTGCACACTGAAATCTCTGAATGAAATATCAACAAGCCCCTTTTCACCAGAGCCTAAGTCCCCTTTCAATTCCACGGTGAAAATAGGAAGTTCAAATAATACTGTAACACAAAATAAAATATAAAGAAATCAAACACAATGTTTGAAATTCAGGTGATGAACATAAATTACAGATTTCATTTTAACAGGTTGGCCACTTTTGCTACTTTTCTTCAACTTTTTTTTTTAATGATGAAACTTAGAGATTCTTACAATATTTACAGAAAATGTAAAAAAGCAATATTGTTTCCAATTTGGAAAATATTTTCAACTTACCTACCACTTCTAATTTTTATTTAATGTAAATTAAACATGATGCGTATCTTATTTATTTGAAGATAATGCCCATTTGGGGGAGGCGGGTGGTCATATATGTTGTTTCTTGTGCATTTAATTTCACAAAAATGGGCTCAGAAAATGTTTGTGAGAATTTTGCTGAAACATTTTTTCATGACCAATTCTCCCATGAGATAGGTTTTCCATGAAAGGCTGCTTTGGCCTGCATATTGCACTAGTTCTACTACAGATGCCCATTGTCATTCTTGACACAAGGGCTTCAAGGTAGAGGATATTGCAAACTAATCCAAAGAATTCCCCATAATGCATGACTCTGCATCACTGACAAACTAAAGCTCATTGAGCTAATGCCTTCATGTTACCCGAGATTCAAAAGAGGAGCATTAAAGGTGAGAGAGCAATGGATAACCTACTTTAAATCTTTCCAAATAAAATAGTTACATATAACACTACTGATATTAAAACGCTGTTCTAGCAGAACCTGTAGAATCTTAGATTCTCCAGCACTACACATTGTAAAAGACACACTGAAATTCATAATACTACTACAGCACATAATCTATTCCTCAGCTTTCTGATTTCATCACGAAAAATTCAAGATTAACAATATTTGTGTAACAAATAAAATTCCTCTTTTTCCGGAAAGTAGCCAGCTTATTTAAAGAATATTCTTAATATACCAGTTTTCAACCCAACCATTTGTATTAAAAAAGATTTTGTTTTAAATTAGATACAAAACTAACTTTCTAATTCTTGTTTTTGCACAATTACCTTTCAGAGAAAGGGTGTGTTTAGTATCTGCTTTTTGTCTGTTTATTACTGTAGGAATATTCAACATCTTAGCTCGAACAGTGGGATCCATTTTGAGAGTTGAAACCCCAATATGAAAATCTGTTTCCTCTTCCTCAATATTAGATAAATGTCGTGTCTCTTGCATGGAATTGTCATCAGAGGCTTCTCGGATCATCAGACTCTCTAGAGTATCGAGGAGTTGTTCATATTGTTGTCTGGATAGAGATACTTTCAAAGGAGTTTCAACACGACCTGAAACCTGAAACAAAATTGGAATTAAAAATATAACTTTTATTTCTTGCTTTGGCACAATATAGTAATCATAATCATCGCATTTTATCATTTCACAAATTTACACACATGTAAAAGATCTTGTTGTTCTAATTTATGAAATTCAGTGCCTGCATCTTGACCTAGGAGCAAAGTGGGCAAACTATCGGATTGGCGCATGAAGCTGCGTCCAACATCACGGTCCACATGCAATTTAATAATTGTGTTGTGTAAGATAGGCTTTCCATCTTCTGCACAAGAATACAACTTCTCTGGACGCATTAATGGTACTTCCAAAGAAGGACTAAACAAAGAAAAAAACATATTATAAAGCACATTAGAAGAACAAACTATGACAAAATTCACAATTTATTACAATAAATTTAAAATATCTTACTTTTCACCCTTTATTTTAAAATTGTCTGCAAAAATAAAAACAGAAATTGCTTTTCCATACAATCAGAATGGATAAAGATTAAGCAGATATGAAGATAATGCATATACAGTAAAACCCCTCTTTTACACTTTTCAAGGGACCGATGAAAAAAGTGTAAAATACAGGAAAGTTGAAAAACAATAGCCTCCTTGTAACAGCAAAATCGACTGACAGCGTTTTTTTCTTGCTGAAAATGTCTGTTTGCCCATCTGTGGTCAACACGAGCAACTAAACCGCCTGCCGATGTTCTCCAAAATTGATATTCCTCAAATGATCTGAACAAACATGAGACTATTGCGATTTCGTTATATACATATGTAGTAATGTACTACATATTGGAACAGGATTTAGCCACTTTTTCAGTATCAGTACGAGTTTTTCTGTTGAAAAATTGCCATTTTTTGCTGCAGCATTACATAACTTTCTCAGCTCTATGTATAAAACGTACGTATACGAGAAAGTAAAAAAATAAAATCAAATAAATTTTAAATAAAGATGTCAAAGATGGGAAGCACTCTTCATATCAAGTTGTAAATTGTGGGAAGAGAATGCATTGTAAATATAGGCTTTTTCATGGAACCAATGAAAAATTATGTAAAAGGCAGGAAAATGTAAAATGTGGGAACGTAAAAACGGGGTTTTGCTGTATAAACAAAGTCATCTAAGAAAACAATCAATTTAGTACTATTATGTCCATATTATTGTAAATAGGAAGGTTGCAAAAAAATTGTGAGGCCCCACAAGACATGGATTCTGACTTAATATGTTAGAGGAAGTAAATTACTATTTATAGGAACAAATTTTTCCACTTTTATGTTACAAGGGCAATTACATTTTTATGTAGCCATTCCACTTTTATGTTACATTGCGTTTATGTTACAATAGGAGTTTTCTGTTGAGAATTCAGTTTTCCAGAGCATGTTTACAATAATTTCTCCTCGTAAGAAGCAAAAACAAAAAAGTAAAAATTAAATAAAAATCTTTTTAAGAGTAATATACATCATACACAATATTTTATAAAACAAAAGTTATATTGAAGTTTTAAAAAAAATTCATAAAATCACAAATTACATTCCAATACAAACAGGCAGTAGGAAACACATGTACTCACATGTAAGTAAGTTTGTTTACATTCATAAATCCATGCTACAACATACAATTTAAGAAATATAATCTACTGACTTGTTAGTGATTGAACAACACTTACTGCAAAGAATGCGATGTCTCATGTGCAAGTCGATGTTCTGTGTCCAATGAATATAAATTCATATCACGAATTTCAATGTTATACTGCTCACGCCTACCCATTCCCCACAGTTCTTGCTCTAAAGATATTCCTGTATTCTCTGTTGGACTTTCATCATCTCTTTCAATACAGTTTCTCACAGAAATTTTTCCCAGATGTGCTACAAAAACTTGTGGGCTACTGGGATGACGAGGCAACACTACAACAGGAGAGTCAAGTACCACATCCAATCTGGAAAAAAAAAAGAAAGGTTACATTGGAAAAATTAAATAAAAAAATTTTCAAATAAATTTAAGTTATAGTGGAGAAAAAAATAACTGACTTAGCTACAATAGCACATTTTTCTTGTATTATGAACAATTACTTAATATTGGCTTCAACGGTTAGTGTATCAAAGTGTTATAGCTATGTTTGCAGGTTCAAACCCAATTGATCACCTGAGCTTCACAATCAAAAATAAAGCATTAAATGAATTGAAGTGATAATTAAGGGTGAAAAAATCCTTCCCATGCCTTCATTTGTAAGAGATAAAGCTGGCTGTCACATGTTATAGATTTACAGCAAGTAAAAGATCAAGCCTAAAAGAAGCCTCTGAACAAAATTAAAAAACGCCAGTTTCATTGCCCGAATGATACCTCCTTTTTCTTCTAGATGGTGAAAGGATGGTAGCGGAATTTGCATAGAATTTGCATGGCGGAAGAGCAGGCCTGACTGCCTGAGCATCACCACAGAAAATAAAGCATTAACTGAATTAAATATTAAAACATTGGGACCACTAACACTTCAAAAATTACCAACCACACAAAGTACAAGAGATTTGAAAAATATGTACCTTTAATTTTTCTGCACATTCAAAAGTTCATCTGAATGTGGCTTTCTGCCATTGAATTCCAACTCTAACTAACCATCTTGCATTAGAATATTTTATCAGGATCTTAATTTTGTAGTGATTGTAGCATATAACTCAAAATTACATAAAAAATAGTAAGATTCTGAAGAAAGTATGCATGAAATGATTAAAAGATCTCATAGTGAGGAATATATTTCATTTAGAAAGAAATCTTCAATAATCTAGTTGCAAGATAGAATCAACACAATTTTGAACTTTAACAATTTTCTAAATTTCTGTTTTTTTGAACAAAAATTGGACATATGACAAATTATTAAGCAAACTTTTCTTAATTTAAGAAACAAATTTTAAGAAAAAAATTGGAACTGCTTCTCGGAAAATTTTATCTATGTTTTGTTTTATTTTATTTTATTTCTGTAACATTTAAAGTACGACTTCTAGATTAATTCAATGTGTAGAGATAACACTTGGTCTTGAGAGTTCAGGAGCAGATTTAGCAATAAAAGTGTTGCATCCCCCTACTCATTATTGTAACTACAAAAGGAATTTTTTAAGAAACTTTACTGTATTATTCAGCTATTCTTGTCAAAATTTAAAGCTGCTTTTAGAGACAGAAATTGGAAAGTTAAAGGCCGAATACAAGTAAAATCTCAAATTTTACCAAAATTATGCTAAGACCTTCTATTTTATTTCAAGAAAGTATCTACAAAACTATACTTTATAAAATATTCAATAATCACCCAGTTAATTTGAAAACCTTGGAATTTATTGACAAATTGAATATTAACAACAAACTGAGAGAATGGCAAATACTCTAAAACAAGAAGTCGAATGACTATTGAAAATCATCAAATGAATCTAATCAAACAATACTGTGTAGTATTTTATGCCTTCTTTGAACAAATTATGTTAGATTCTTAATAATTGTATTATACTCATTTCAAGTAATTTTTAGACCAGCCCAGCAGGTTCCTGCGAGTTCCTCAGCAGGAAAGGCTTCTGAATGATTATGATGTTCATTACATTAAATAATTATGTTTTTTATTGTTTTTGTTTTATTCATACTTTTGTTGGAATATCAATTGTTTCGAATGTAGCTTTGTGCATAGAGGATCCAAAAAATAAAATCTCTCTTGATTGTTGTCTAACACACCTGAAGTCTATGAAGGATTCAATAAGCTCATCATCACTTGGACTAAAAGGAGTGTGGGGTGTTGTGCCTCTCGTACTTCCAATGGTCTCCAACATCTCTGTAGACTGAGACACACTACTACGGCGTCTTCGACGAGGAGATGATACTTCTGAAGCAGATCCTCCATAGAAAGACGATGATAAACGACTATTCATGTATAAACTTTGAGCCAATGCTTCTGCTCTGAAAAATAAAAAAAATAAAACAATTATTCTACATGAGATTAAACATTCTCTTGAGAATGAACATCAAATTCTGTAAATTAAAAAAAAAGCTAATAATAATAATAATAATAATGATAATAATAATAATAATATTAATAATAATAATAATAACAATAATAATAACAACAACAACAACAATAATAATAATAATAATAATAATAATAATAATAATAAATTTTTGCTTGTCAATAATAATTAAGTTGTAAATCGAAATCAGCAAAATGTGGAGTGTAAAAGCACACATTGTACCAAGAGTCACAAGAGCTCTGAGATTTGTTTTGCAAAACTTGTGTACAAACTTGTCTAAACTCTCAGGTCATTCAAAAGACTGGGAAGTGCAAAAAATTGTTTTATTTGAAACAGCCCACATTTTGTGCAAAGTATTGTAGAGGCACCAACAGTCCCGAGATCGGTTCCTTAGGTAGCTGGTTGCAATCTGGATTAGAGTTCATATTCAGCCATCTCGTAACATCTTTAGTCATGATGTAGAGGAATAATAATAATAATAATAATAATAATAATAATAATAATAATAATAATAATAATATAATATCAATAAATATTTTCAATGAAGTATATATAGATAATAATAAAATTTATAATAATATTGCATTAATTTTTGAGGACAAGGTGAACTTTCTGGTGAACATCGGAAAATTTTGAAAGCAAATTCTCTTTCAATTACTGCTGAAAGCAACAGTTGTTGCTTTATGTACACCATTATTTGTTATACATATTAAAAATGCAAACATTTGAAATTTAAAAAAGCAACAGAGTAATTCATATTAGACATAAAACAACACAAAAATTACCCACCTTGCATGCACTAATCCAATAGCCATTTCAGTAGCTGCTGAACGAATTGATCGTGCGAGATTAGTGAGATACTGTTTGAATTCTGAGGCACATGACTGTAGTTCAGTAATAAGACGTGGAGAATGAGTGTACCATACAGAGGCCATACGGACTTTAATGTCTGCACAATCTATAAAGCCAAAATAATTATAACAAACAACATTCTATTAATTATGTTCATTATTTTGTTTTTTAGAAGTTTGCTATGAATTAATTTTTAACATGTTAGGGTCAAGATAATTACCTTGAGGAGCACTATCTAATGTACGATGCACGCTGAAGCTGAAAGCTCGAACTTCATCTTGCAAAGTGACAGTCTGACCCATTGAATATATTTCTGCATTGAGGCAACTAACCAAGTCAAGAGTGCGGTGCATGAAAGGATCTTTGCCAAGACTTAGTATACGTTGATGTCGCTGACCTTCAGGAGTCTGATCTAGCACCTGCAGCCCACCCAGAGAACCCTGCACAGTCAATTCTGTACCTGTAAGGAAACAACGAAATATCTGTCACACCTCCAGTATTTCTGTCATCACTGCTATTAGAACAGTATCACATTATTGTATGATTGAAATAAATTAATGATCTACAATTCACAAAATGGATTTCTTTAACACAATCAACTTTTGAAGCAAATTTGAACAAAATAATTGTCACCTAAAGTAGCTTGAACCATTGCTTCAGACATGGTAGCAGTTGCTATTTTCCGACCAATAATTGTGCCATCTTTATACACAGCTCTTAAAAGAAGGACATTAAGGCGATGAAAATCAAAAGTCAATTCTGTTCGAGTTGGAGGCACAGTTGGCTGTTCTGCTCCGCTTTCAACCTCTGAGCGAGGGCTCGCCATGCGAGCAGGAGTGTCACTATTTGAAGAGCATGTTGGTCCTTGAATGTTTAAAGCGCTTGGAATAACTGGTCTTTTGCTACTTGGTTTTAAAGATGGAAACACTCGCCTTGCAAAGCCCATGAGCTCTACAATTGTTTCTTGGTTGGCTGCAATGATGACAAAAGAAATTTAAGAAGTACAGTCTCAAAAGTTAGAATATTACAAATTATGATGTAATTTATTATCTAACTACACAGTTTTCCTCTCTCATATACACAAGATCATTAATATTCATTCGATCGTACCTATAATATCAAGATTGTTGAATTGAATGGAAGCAGTCTGTAAAGCTTCACCATCTGAATCAGGACTTTGAGGGCTTACCAACCATATTTCTATAGTGATCAATGCTTCAGCATCCAAAACTTCTGATGAATTGAGATACTGGGAATGGCCAGCGAAGGAAAAGGATGAAGGTGGTGGTGATGTGGGACCGGGAGGTGACACAGGCATTGGAAAAGTTGGAGATACAGCTGAAAAAATAACACAATATTTTATTAGTAAAACTACCTTAAAGTCAACAGCAACAGTGGGATTCAGGGGGTGGGGGAGAGTGAAGGCAATTGACCCCTCCTCCCAATTGTATTCAATATATAACTAAACACAAGCTTTATATTCAAATTGATCTGGAGCTTGTAATTTACCCCTCAAAAAGCAGATCTGATATTCTACCACAGGTCAATATACAGACTTTTTTCAACAAAGGTTACAAAGAACCCAACCCAGGTCACATTTAGTCAATATTAAACTTGAGTACAAGGCTACATCTAAATTTCAGCATCCTCTCAAAGATCATATTACCCATTCCTACACCTACTTTGAACCTGAACAACAATTTATTCAAGCAGAAGTTCAAAATTATCGAATATAATACAATTATTTCAATAAAAAGTTAGCAAATAATTCAGTTAAACAAATATAGTGTTTAAGAAGCTCAGGTCATGGCACATGAACCTTCCATTCTTTCTCTCATTCATACTGAAAGAAAATAATTTGGTGATTTTTACAAAAAGATAGAATTGTATACATACAATATTGTAACCTGTCAAATTGAAATGAAAGCTATTCCTTTCCAATTTTAGAATGCCATAATTAATATTACATTGAGGTTCCAATATTCTATTGATATTTTGATGAAAATATGTTTTCAGTTTATAAACTGAAGTAATTTAAGGTATTAGTTGCTCACTGAACAAGTAATTTACATAAATATGAATACTGATGGTTTATACAAATGAGATTAAAGCATTACATAAGAGTGGATGATTAATGTCACTAATTTTTCATGCCCATATAAATACTACAATCAAAATTAATTTTACTTTGTTTTAAAATAAGTTTACTATATTATCAAAAATGTTCAATACAAAACAGTTAATGAATTTATTCCCTTAACAAATCCTACACTCTTCATGTTCTTATTTCTAGCTTAGGAAGCTAGAGAGAGGCCCTAACAGCTAGCACAATTTCATGTTTACAACAGCATTACATCACTAAATACTTCTTACCTCTATGCCAGGCAGGTGAGTCAGTTTGTAAATTGCTGAGTGCTTGTGTGAGAGCAATCGGAGATGTAGCTTTAGCTGTCCGGGGGTTGGTTGGATCTGGGGATCCAGGCGATGTTGGAGACGTAGGCTCACTGTCTCTTAAACTGCCACTAACACTGTCCATTCTGCAACAATATCACTTAACACTCTACAAGAACTTATTCAAGTTAACACGATTTTAAAAAATTCAGTTAATACAATTACACAGTTTTTGTCATACCCTAAAATAACAATACTTACCCAACATGCTTGTGACTGGCCACAAGTAGTTCAAAATCAGGCCCAAAAGTCTGCAGAGCATCTACAAGTAATAGACTGTGAACACTAAGCTGTAAAATGGTATCATAAGTGCGTCGGGTATATGCCGCTCGTACTCCTGATACCTGCAGTTCTGCTATACTTCGACCTCTGGACTGCACCTACAAAAGGAAATTTTATTTTTACAATAAATTGTTACAATTACAAAAAGATCTGATAACTGCCTACTATGTTTTCAAGTAATGTTATCATGCCAATAACATTTCAACAGAAAGATTTGGACAAGACCATTGAAATAGTTGTTTATAACCAAACAGTAACATCCTGTATGGAAATTGCCAACATCTTCAACAAACATTTTTGAAATATTATAACAAAGTTTCATGAAAGTCATAAGGGAAACAATTACACCTCACAAACCACATCTAACATCAAATTTTTATCTTCCAACATAAAAATGAAACTAGACAAACAAATAAATAAATAAATAAATAAACTCTTAAACAGAACTTTAGTAGGATTAGTTAATATCCCAGAATTGATTTCTAAGAAAATTTAATCCATATTTTGAAACCACTAGCAGCACATATTTTCCACATTATTCAAATTTGCAATTTTTGAAAATTTAGAGAGTTCAACAAAAATAAGAATTGTGCCATTCTTTTAAGTGTGCCTTCTACCAGTGGAAAAAATTTGAGCCGTTTCTGAGAAAATGTTGTTTTTTTTTATTAATTTCAAGCACAAATTACATTAAATCTACTCGTTTCTTCAAACAATTGTACATGGCCTTTTTTGTTTTTAACAGAGCTGATTTCTTATAAGAGACTTTGTCTAAGGAAAAAATGTCTATCTTCAATTTTGAAATGTTAACTTAGCAATTTTCAAACAAACAAAGGTTGCTGAAAATGGGACTAGCACCATATTTTTTACCATTCCTTGATTTTTATTACGAGAAAATTTAAAAAGAAAAAATTTGGAAAACTATTGAGAAAAAAATGTTAATAGCCTGTATTTCAAGCAAAATTACACAAAAAATTGAGCACGACTATTTCGAGATCTGTATTTAAAGGACAGAATTTATTAAAGAAAAAATCTCTTCCTTCAAAATTGTAATTGTAGAAAGATCTCCCACAAAAAAAGTTGCAATTTTGCCATTTTCAAAAAATTTAGAATTTTGATAAACATGATACCTGCACCAATTACTTAAGCATCCTTTATGCTATCTGAGAATGAAGCCTTTTTGGAGAAAATTTAGAAAATGTTTTTGGGGCTTCTTGTTAACTATACTCAAAAATCAAATTGCCTGATTGAAACTCCCAAAGCATGAGCTTGTTTAGATCAATCAGGGAATATCAAGTTTGGAGAAAATTGACTAAAAAGTTTGGGTGCTAGCATTGACCATAGATTGAAGGACAGGTGTTTTGCCGCCAATGAACTTTTTGGTATCAAGAGATTCTGGCTACAACAGGGATTCTCGCTACAACACATGTTAAGAGGAAGTAATTTACTTCCCATTAGACTTCATATTGCATTACTGTATCTCATTTTCTTTGTCTCCCCTAGGATGTCTTCGTTTCCATGAAATGTAGTTTTTAGGTAATTTTCTCATACAATCTATTCCATCTCTGAACCATTGCATATTTTGAATTAACAGTTTCCATTGCAAACCTGTACAAGTTGGAAGAAAATATTGGATGATGCCAAATGGTTCCAGCTTAGACAAGTTTTACTGTATTTAAATCCAAAACAAAAAAAAGTTATATAGAAGCTGTTCGGATGGTATTAAACAACTTAGCAACTGGTTCCCGTGTAAGAAATTAATTGTAATCACACAGAACACACCGACAATATTTTTCACAATCTACTAAACCAATCATAAATCTACAACAATTTAAAAGTTGAGGGTAAAAATATCAATCCAGCTTAAGAAACAAAATTTCTATGCTATGGCCACATTTCCATCAGGTCATCTGTGATGAAGATGGGGAGAAAAAAGAGCCCCTGGAACATTGCCTTTTTGTAGATATTATAAATACACAATGCTAAATTGACCATTTTACTTTCTTGCTACCGCTTATGCAGTAGAGGGAAAATTATATAATAACACACAAAGAGAGTGGCGAATTTTCTGCATACCACAGATCCCTGGAACCAAGAAAGAGGATAAATCTAGTTGCTAAATTTAGAAAAAAAATCCTCTAACATGTAGTATAGCCAGAATCCATGTTTTGTGGGTTCTTGATACTGAAAAATTGAATGGCTGCAATGTGTCTGTCTGTTTGTCTGTCCATGAACAAATACTTGCAGCTAAACTGTTTAGTTGATTATGTTGATTATGATCAGCTATATGCTGTTTTAGCTCCACCAGTTTTATCTTTTGATTAGGAGTGCCTTTCACAAAATTATTTTCATGAAATGTGAAATTTGTTAATCTTTGCATAATGATGGATGTATGCTACAGATTGAAAGTGGTTTTTAAAGAATAACAAGGGACCAAACAAATGATGACAAAGTATTGAACTAATAATAGCCATAATTAAAAATATTCTGCCTAATATCATATGTTGTTTTAATTCAAATGTTTACTAACAATATGACAGTAAACAATATCCAATGCCAAATTTCACACATTAAATGTAAATAACAAGGCATCTTTGACTCAAACACAAAATGTAACCATTCCTTATATGTGTTCAGAAAAATTCAGAGAGAAACATTACTTTATATTACCAATATGTTTTGTAAAATTATACTACTTAATCCATCAAAACAAAGAATTAAATTGATTCACCTCCAAAGCCAACTGCTCAACACTGAACTGTAACATAACAAGACGAGCCGATTCCCGTCCTGCTGGCTCCTGCATATCTAAGTTGACACTTATATCTTGTTCTGGAGGAGGAACAGTTTCTTCTTCACAAGGAATTGACTGTGAACTACACATTTTAGAGATGTCATGATGTAATTTAGGGAATCTCAAAATCTTTTCATTAAACATAATCCTCAAATTTGTTATACCAGATGAACAACATATAAATATTAAATAGTACCCTTTAATGTTTGGTAAAATAATCAAAACTTTACCAACCAAACAAAAATTAAAATAACTCATTTAATAAGGATTATGCCATAAAAACTTACCGAAATGGAGAAGGTAGGCCTTTGCCACTGACTATTGCAACCATGGTACGAAGCGCATCTACTTTTTGCTCATTCACATGAACCACCAATTTTGGGAGATTACCAGTGAGTCGCAATGAAGGAAAATGAGGATCATTCATGAATACAATTCGACGTTCTATTGTCAATGAGATATTGAATCGATCTAGTACATGAAGAGTAGAAGTTCCTTTGAGATGGGCGTACTTCCAATTATCTCTCACTCTGCCAACAAGAATTTGCATGTCTCCCAACTCCATAGTATATCTACAACAAGTAACAAGAATATAAAACAACATAAAAACAAGACATAACTTCCAAAACCAATATAAGCAATTAACAACATGTTGATTTTTATTATATTGACAATCTAAAATGTCAGCAATGATTGTAGCATCCAATTAAAAAAATTATGTACAATAACATTGCATATTCCAGACTACCGAATTGAATTTAAACAGTAAAAACTAACCTGTCATAGAGCTTTTGGTGTAATTGGGCCTCAGAGAAATTATTAGTGAAGATCTCTTCTGTTTTCTGAGATGAAGTAACGTTCACGGTAGGTATGGTCATTGAACTTTCTGGTTCACTAGCTTCACTTCCAGGTGGAGTAGAACATGGTGTTTGGAAATTATCTATCAGAGTATGAAACAAATACGTTAAATTTATTGAATAATTTGAGGTATATAAAGAAAAACTATTTATGCCCAAAAATATTTATGAAGTAGATGTAAACATTCCAACAATTTTGTGTTAAAACATTATTTACAAAGAGGAAAAAAAATTATAAATAACACAACATTATAAATTTACCTTCGTCATCACTGTCTGCCTGCTGAGACACACCTTTTTGAACACCTGGCATTTCTGACTGATTGCTGAAGTAGAACTTTCCAAAGTCTACCACAACAATAAGGGCATTCTTATCACAGAAATTCTCAAGCAACATAATTTGTGGAGCTGAAATATCAAGCTTGATATCCCAAATCTTTCGATCCATCTGCTTTACAAAAATATGAAGAACATTTTTGAGAATAAAAATAAACAAAATACTTTAGAATGGCATGAATACATCAAATGGCGTTTTCACTTACTAAATCTCCTGCAAGAATCTGCTCCCAATTTTTCATCAGTTCGTCTTTGGTTTTTTGTTTCATGGCTTCATAGCGATGACGTGCAGCCTGTCTTAACTGAGCGTCTGGTTTTTGATGAGGTCTTGTGAAAAAGTCAGTCAACCATTTTATTGCAGATGGATTGTAAACAACATCTAGAGACTGGGATGTGATGTGTAATCTGTAGATAAAGTAAAATTAAAATACCAATAATACAGTACTTTCCCAGAAACAATTAACTTAGAGAAATTGGAAAAGCCATTAACATAATTAAAGAGTTACATTAAACAATGTAGTATATTACTATTATGCCTGATAATTTGCCCCTTTGAAAAACTCCTTTGCATATCTAAACATAAATGGTAATTTATTATTCCGGAAAATTCAGAAAATAATTTAAAGAAGAAATAATAAAAACTTCAAAAATTAAAAATAATTTTTATTTTGTATAATAGAAATACTTTTTATTTTGTATTCCTGCATCTGGAAATTAAAAAAAAAAAAAACTGTTAAACACTCACCTGTAGTCAATGTTACTGCTAAAGGGGCGGTACTCATATGTGAGTGTAAAGAGAGGTTCATCTGGTTGAGGAGTACGGCCAGTAGAAGTTAGTAACTTTGCAAGACCAGGAGGAAATGGTCGACCAGTTCCTCTCCCAAGTGCTGATTGAAATTGTCTTCTATTCTCTGGCCGCACAAGTACACGAAATTCTGAATCCTCAGTGTAGTGATCCACAAGGAACATGGCTCCTAAAGTAATATGAAATTTGTGCGAGCCAGTTCTAGGTCTAGATTCCAATCCTAACTGCATTGATTCAAACTGCAGTTCAATTACAGGAACACTAAGAAGGAAAAAAAAAATATATATAGTCTTTAACCACTGAAATTGTTTCTTAAAATAAATAACAAGTAATACAAAATTTGATGATTACATTACATTCAACACAAAGGCTAATACTAAATTTCTCAAGATTTAGAGAAACATTTGCATTTTGCAGCTTTCTTCCCATTGATGCATTCCCATTTCCGTTGAAGTAAAGTATGTACAAATATATTAACATGAATGTAAACATTAATTATTCATATTATATCAGTATGCATATACATACAATGAAGAACAATTGGTCATTTATGAATACACTCTTTATACTGGATTTGAATTATAAGGAGTGCTCATTTCAGACATGGAAACAAATTAAGCTAGTAAAAAGGTTAAGCCAAAACTTGATTATATTGTCATTATTGTTAAAATTTCAATATTGTTAAAGTTTTAATAGTAGGGTAAAATGTATTAGAAAATAAAAATTAATAAAAAATATGTTTTTTTGACAAAAAATTAGCTCAATCAATTTAAATTCATTGGTTGAAAATATTTCAATAAAATGAGTGAATTATATTTTGATTTTCAAGATCCTCTATAACTCATTTCTTAGAATTCTCTCCACAATACAAAGTGAATAATATGAAATTTACTGATTAACACAGGGTATAAATTGTCAATGATAACTTAGGAAATGAACTCACCTTTCACTTCTATAGTCACCTTTAGAAGTACACAAATTAAAAGCCCCTTTCTTCAAAGTGAAATTAAATTGGCCAAATACTGTGTCACGTCGTAACAATGTATTGTTCTCTACAGTGTCTGCTAAAGCATCCAAAAGTTCCTCTTCCAGTTCTGGTGGAGCAGTACCTGATGGATCGACAGAAGCTGTAGCATTAACAGTGGTTTGGGTGGGGCCTGCCTGGGGAGTAGAATACCAGCCCCACCACAGAGGAAACCACTGCAGCAAGACTCCACGGCCCGCACTACTACCTCCGCCATCGGCAGGCAGAGTTGCCTCAGCTCCGTTTGGAGTAGGAACCATAGGAACGTCTGCGGGAACTGGGGTGTTTTGTCTCATCTGCCACATGGCACACTACAAACAGGAAGGTAGAAATCATTGGCAGTAGTGAAATCAAGTGAAAATAAACAAACTAAATAATACGAAAAAATACTCAATCTCACAAGTAAAATACACATTTTTAACACAAATGTTTCTGAATAATTAATTTTGAAGTGATCAAATAAATTACATTTCTGATATTAGGCATATAGAAAAAGAAGTAGTGTACAAAGAGGAAAGTAGAATGTCTTGTACTTAATGTAGATACTTGACAACAACATGCAATATTTTTGAGTTTTTGAAACGTTTTATGAATTAACAGAGAGTCCTTGCTTATCTTGACAGCGAATAGAAAAGATGAGTAGAAAAATCTACAATTGCATTTGAATCTTGGCAGTGTTACAAAAAATTTTTAATTTTGGTGAAATTACTAAGTGAATTTGATCATTCAATAAATTAATTTTCTCAAAGAAAAATGATGATATAATTATTTACACCTTAAAAACTTAAAGATTATAAAATTAGTTAAATTAAACCACTGAATTCATAATTACTGTTTTCACTTTCATTAAAATTTATCTCAAAGCCAATTTCTACACTTGGAAACGATTCCTGGTTGTTAATAAATAATCAGCTTTATGATTTCCATTCACATATACAAATTAAAGAGAAAATCTTAGCTAGTTTTATTCAATTCTGAAACATTTTTCCTAACCACCTCCACTTTAGTTAACATGAAAGAATGATTTACACTGTGTTAGAAACAAAATTGCTACTCACCTCTCGAAGAGTTTTAAGTTCATCAAGATCTCTCTGCAATTCCATTGTGTCTTTGAGAGTTTTCGAATCAGGTGGAAGAGCGGCTGTGGGATTTGCTAAAAGTCTTACATACATTTTTACATATGCTACATTGTCATGTGCCCTTTGAAGAGCTGTAGCCCAACGTTCTGATTCTGATTGCTCTCTTTCTTTCCAATGTGGGAAGCGAGATATAATTACATACATCCACCATGCTCGAGGATCTTCAGCCACAGTGTGATCTGGTCTCCACTTTCGATATCGACGAGCACGTTCTATTCTTCTGAGGCCTTTCAAACAGCTTACCATTAGACCATATTGCCACTGAAACAATTTATTTTAATAATTATTCAGCATTCAAAACCTCTTGAAAATTTCATTTCTCTATTACAAAAATAAGATTTTAAAGTGTACAATAAATTGAAAATGGTAATTACAAATTCTTAATAATTAATTTACAAGAAATTTCAATGACCAAGAAATTCAGAAACAAAAAAGGTTGCAGAATAATACCTAAATAATCACATATTTCAAAAACGCACATTTTTAACTTGTTTTCAATGTTCGATAAATAAACTAAAAAAAAAAAAAAAAAAAAAAGATATATTGTAGCACTTGTTATTTACAGATGATTTTTAATAACTTTTTTTATGTTTAATGTATTTTGGCTAGCTGAATTGTTAATAAAAAGTTTTGGATAAGCTATTAAACAACAAAAACTGAAAATTTTGAATTTATGGAACACTCACATCAATGAGAGTTAAGGGAACTTCTTCAAGGTGCAGATCACAGACAATTCGAGGTTGTGTACGAGAACGCAAGGGCTGCTCACTTCGATTCCTTTTAACATGAGCTTGAGCACTTACAGGAGCTAATATGAAGTGATGTTTTTGGACAGCACATTTTGACATTGCCACCTACAAGGACATAATTCAAGAAATATAAAATGGAAAATTATCAACAAAACAGCATAAAAGCACATTTTACTTACTGCAAGATCTCCTAGTGACAAACCACCAAGGAGTTGATCAGATGACAGAGAATCAAAGTAAACAGCCAATGTATTCAATTCCATTAATTTGAAAGACATATTGCCACTATCCCAATTAGTAAACCGTGGCATCCACTTGTCATCACAACTCTGTGCTGTTAGTGACTCTATCATTACTCCTAAGGCAAATGCTTGGCCAGGTGTTGTCTCATCATCTTCAAATCGCATGTGAACATCTTTGATTTTTAGCTGCAACATACAATGATTTAAGAGTTAAAGCTTTAAATGATCTACAATTCGTACTAATTATAATAATAATGACAATAATCAAATTAAGTCTCCATATAGAAGCAGAGAAGTTATTTAGGAAAAAAAAATTATGTCAAAATTCAAGAAATTATACCTGTAAATTTTCAACAATATTAGCAACCAGCCCTGTACCATAGCTCATCCAAGATGAATAACTGGAAGCATAATAATTACTTTCCTGAGGATTATCTGTTTTTGCACGCCATCGCGCCTCTACTTCATCCAGGATGCTCAGCTTGTAATCTTGAGCTGCTAATTCTTCCACTTCTTCGTCCCACTATAATAGATATAAAACTTTTGACTAATGTTCCAATTTTGTCAAAATATTCATTTGCAACTTTCCAATATCCATTTTCTCAAAAATGTTTCTAATGAAAGTAGAATGTTATGCAATTTACCTCGCTGAGACGATATGGTCCAGTAACAACATGCAGTTGTTCGATTATTATAACCCATGGTGCACTTCGCAACTGACGAACTGGAATTTGAAGTTTAATTTTTCCCACAAAACCAGCTCTTATTTCCACAGGTATTCCAAAGTGTCGAAGAGCACCTTTTTTCAATGGTAAATTTTCTAACTCAACTTCTCCTACAAAATCAAAAATAGGTTAAATTATAAATGAAGTTTCATAGTAGCTTCATAATTTTGAAAGCAAAGAGTAAAATTTGCTTACCTTGAAGTAATGCAATACTAAGCTGATCAGTATTTAAATTTTCAACATACTTTCCTAAGTAGTTGTTTAAAACCCATGCTACAAGACCTTCCAACATGTTTGAATTTTTATATATAAGTTAATTCGTAACTTTGAAATAGTATATGATACATACACATTTCACTCCAAGTAACAACACACACTGTCAATAAACTGATATAGCTTTACATTACACTCGTTTCGTTCCGCAATTCTCGAAACTGAATAAAGATAATTCAGATAGTCTAGGTTATGTCTACTTCACTTTTGCAATACATGATTCCACAACGATACGACGAACACTTACACTCCTGACCCCATCAGAAGCGAAATGGGCAATCCAAGTTGCATTACTCCCACTCACACATACGCATTTCTCTCCTCTTTCTCTTTTCATTTGTTAGAACTTCACAGATTACTTTCTTTTATACCGATATAACTATGCCACTCAACGGAGACTCAAAAACCGCACATTACTGGTACAGCTTTGGTGCACGGTGCTCCAAACCAACTGACATTTAAATTTCTTGCACAGGTCATGCACGTCTCACGCGAGGGCGAACCGGTCAGAAGAAATCTCGAACAGCTGATCCAGTAGTAAATCCGAAGTACGTAGCAGCATGCCCTTTCCACTACCACTTTGTCCTTTAAACATCCTTTCATTCACGGCGTTCACAACTCTTGCTGTTCATCAGGTTTAGCACATCCTCCTTGGCACTCTTACTCCATGTATTTCGATATCTTGCGTCAGATTCTTCGTTCACGGCCACTAATAGGGAGGTATACGTAACTCTGGCATTTGGACTTTGCATTTGCGAGCTCGTCATCTTTTATTGCTGCTAAATGAAGATTAATTTGACGATTGGCAAGGTCACGTTGGTAAGCTTTCTGAAGCGGAAACTGATTTTCGACTATTTCATAGCTACACCATGCATCGAACGATCCGTATATATGCAAATACAATGTCAACAATGAAATGAACTGTCGTAAAACGAAAAGTCTGATTCTGTATTTCTCATAAAAACAGTCACAAGTATTAATTCATTTCGACGTTCGGTAATCCGAGTACGGGCAAGTGTTTGTCACCACATACTGATTATTTCTATATTTTTCCAGTGAAGGTGTATTGATGTCATGCCCAATTTAAAATACTCATATCATAGAAAATGTCATTTTCTCGGTACCATTGTGTCGTTTTAGCATTCCACGCGAGCAAATCAAACAATCTGGGCTGAGGAGATGTAACAATGCATTGTTCAGACTATGCTCTCTGCAAGTGCGACTTCCTTTACAGTTTACTTGCTTGCAGGAGGGGGAGGGGTGTACGAAACATATGTCCATTGGTGACATCTTTCAGTTCTAATTCATTAGGTTTTTGCAACAATTAAATACATAATTAACTTTCTCGATAGGGAGAGCTTTAGAGGAAGAGTTATTTAGATATCCAAGATAATGACAACAATCATTGACGAATAAGCCCTTTCAAGTTCTCACATTCCCGAATTAATCATACACGTTGCGTAACAACGGATAATTCATTGATTTCTCGGTGAATAAGCTTGTAAGATAACTTTTTTCTGAAAAATATTTTACTCAGGAACGAAAATGTCTAATTTTCAATGATTTAATAGAACATCTGGAGTTTCAATATCAAAAAATTAAGACATGACGAGGCTCCCGATTGGATAATCGAGTCCAGCTGATGATGTCAGAAGTCATTGTTTAAATTGAAGTATAGTCCAATTTCAGGTGAAAACTGTATTCTCGAAAATTGGGGGGGGGGGGATATGCAAAAGTACAAAATTGATGATAGTTATTTTTTTTTTCTTCAATAAAATCTGTTCTAAAAAATAATATCTTTCAAAAATATCATGTGTAACTTCTTGGAAAACACGAGTATTTTTCGCGTAATGTGTACTTTGAAGAGAATACAACTTTTTTTTTCTAAACAACAGCGCCATTTTTTAAAACCCCCTTTTTTTTTTTACCTCGTATAGATTAAATGACGCTTCAAATGGTGCACATCTAGTTTTGTTGAACTGAGTGAATTTTCCAAAATCGCCAAAGTAAGAAGTGACGAGAGAAAGTATCCGGCGTGGTAGCACCACTAGTTTTTGTAATGAAGGACATTTCGATGACATTCATTATTAGGGTCCGGATGTTTATGACCTAAACATTTTAGAATTATGCAAGCATTTATGACCAAAAAATATAAAAATATGACCATAAATATGACTTAAACATTTTTTGTTTGCATTTGTGAAACCAAAATCTTGCCGTTGTGTAAATAATCATTATATTGAAAATATCTTTTAAAAACTAGCACATTCACAATTCAGCCCTTCTCCTTTTGAAGACAATTCTACTTGTTTATTTATTTAGTTATTTGTAAAAGCGGTTGACCTTGGCACAAAACCTGAGAAAACGTAATCAACACTTCGCGTCTGGTGCTTTCTAAGCTTTTCTTTTCTCGTTCTGTGCTGCTTATCCTCCCAATACACAATATACAAGTTAGATAACAATTGGGAGAAGGGAAAGATCTATTTGGAACAACTGCACGCAAGTTTGCAAAAACTGAATAAAAAAAATAAAAATGTGACAAAAAGTAACGAAATTTGTGGAAAAATATGACCATAATATGAAATATGAACGGAAAATAACAAAT